GGAAGGGAGTGCAGGTATTGCAAGTCCCATCGTCCATGGTGCATCCTCCTCCGAACCGCACCAGGATGTAGAGTGCGTCATGGAGACTCAGTGTGCCAAGTTTGGTCTTTATCGGTAATTGGATGAGGGTTGCAGTGGTCTCAGGAATTGAGCAAAGGTACTGCAAGTCCCATAATCCATGGTCCATCCCATGCCAAACCACACCAGGACGTAAAGTGGGTCATGAGAGGTCTATGTGCCAAGTTTGGTCCTGATCAGTCATTGGATGAGGTTAACAGCGGTCTCAGAATGTGAGTGATAGTACTGCAAGTCCCATCATCCATGGTTCATCCTTCTCCAAACTGCAGTAGGATGGAGTGGGTGATGGGGGCTCTGTGTGCCAAGTTTGGTCTGTATTGGTTATTTTCTGACTCAGCCCCTGGCCTTTTCCTTTCCTCTCTTTGTCATCTCGGAATCTTGGAATTGTGGCTGGCCAATCAGAGACCATATGCAAATTTCCTTCTCTCATGTCTCCATTTCTGTCATGAACTCTTTTCTCCACCAGGGGCTCCTGTTGCAGCTGGCCAATCAGAGACCATATGCAAATAGCACCACAGTGGCAGCCTATCAGAAAGCTGGCACATACCTGGTCACACCGCCGCATACAAACTTTGATTTTTAATAGATAGATAGATAGATAGATAGATAGATAGATAGATAGATAGATAGATAGATAGATGCCCTAGGACCTTCTTGTTTGAAGGCATGAGCTTCTTGAACACATGGCAGTCACCAAGTAAAAAAAATCTGCAGGATGGATTTGCTACGACCAGGTAAGAGATTTGAAATAATGAACTTCTTGAACTAACAGCGACTACCGGATACAAGATTTGCAGGAAGGATTTTCAATGACCAGGTAAGAGATTTCAAATAATGAGCTCCCTAAACCAACAGCGGTTACCAAGTACAAGATTTGCAATGACTGGTAAGATTTGCAAGGATTTGCAATGACTGGTAAGAGGTTTGAAGGCATTAGCTTCTTGAACCTACAGAAGTCACCAAACAGAAAATCTGCAAGAAGTATTTGTAAGAACCAGGTAAGAAATTTGAAATAATGTATTTGGAATTAATACTCACTGGACACAGTGGGGTATATTCTGAGTAATTATACACACCGACGGCTGCAAGATGCAGATTCTACTACTTTTGGTGGTGCCTGGCTGGAGAACATTACCCTAACAATGATGATGTTAATTCGTTCAGTCTCTTCCGACTTCGTGATCTAACAAACCAGCCCATGTCAGAGCTCCCTTGGTCAGCCCCTCTTCCTTTTTCCTTCAATTTCTTCCAGCAACAATGATAGCTCTCCCAAAAAGCTGCAACTGTCACTTTGAAAAGAGCAGCCATTTTGAAAACTGGAACTCTGAGGCAATGCCTATAAAATGGAGAAGCACATTGTGGTAGCAATGATATCTCTCCCGAAAGCTGCAACTATCATTTTAAAAACAGCAGCCATTTTGAAAACTGGAGCTCTGAGGCAATGAGCATTGTGGTAGCAATGATATCTCTCCCAAAAGCTGCAACTGCCATTTTAAAAACAGCAGCCATTTTGAAAACACGAGCTCTGAGGTAATGCCTCCAAAGTGGAGAAGAGCATCGTGGTAGCAATGATCTCTCTCCTGAAAGGTTTAAAAACAGCAGCCATTTTGAAAACTGGAGCTCTGAGGCAATGCCTCCAAAGTGAAGAGCATTGTGGTAGCAATGATATCTCTCCCGAAATCTGCAATGCCATTTTAAAAACAGCAGCCATTTTGAAAACTGGAGCTCTGAGGCAATGCCTCCAAGATGGAGAAGAGCATCGTAGTAGCAATATCTCTCCTGAAAACTGCAACTGCCATTTTAAAAACAGCAGTCATTTTGAAAACTGGAGCTCTGAGGCAATGAAGAGCATTGTGGTAGCAATGATATCTCTCCCAAAAGCTGCAACTGCCATTTTAAAAACAGCAGCCATTTTGAAAACACGAGCTCTGAGGCAATGCCTCCAAAGTGAAGAGCATTGTGGTAGCAATGATACCTTACAGAAAGCTGCAACCGCCATTTTAAAAACAGCAGCCATTGTGAAAAGAAGAACTCTGAGGCAATGCCTATAAAATGGAGAAGAACATTGTAGTAGCAGTTATAGTTCTCCCAATAAGCTGCAACTGTCATTTGAAAAAAGCAGCCATTGTGAAAACTAGAGCTCTGAGGTGATGCCTGTAAAATGGAGGACATTGTGGTAGCAATAATATCTCTCCCATAGCTGCAACTATCATTTTAAAAACAGCAGCCATTTTGAAAACTGGAGCTCTGAGGCGATGCCTCCAAGGTGGAGAAGAGCATTGTGGTAGCAATGGTTCCTTATACAAAGCTGCAACTGCCATTTTGAAAACAGGAGTTTGAAGGCAGTGGCTCCAGAGGGGAAAATAATATGTCAGTAGCAATCATATCTCCCCTGGTTTCTCTGCAACTGCCATTTTGAAAACCACAACTCTAAAGCCATGGTCTGTCTGGTAGCAGTTTGCCTCTGTCTGGGTGTACTCATTGATCCCCAAATTATTGTTGGTAGATGCTAGCATTAGAAATAAAGAAGGAACAAATCAGAAATATTAGCAGCTCAAGGAATGCAGTAGCTTTCAGGTCTTTGGGGAAACGGGGATTCAAGGAAATATTCCTGTCCACTCGTGAGAGCGATTTCAAAAATTGGAACGGAAACAAATAAGAAGGAACCTTTCCCCTGATGGCATATGAGCATATCAGGGACACAATAAAATATCTAAAAGTGGTATTCAAATGACTGCTAGGCCTTGGGCCTCATCACACTCGCACATTTATCCACTTTAAATGCTGTGACTGCCTCATGCAAAATTCTGGAGTTTGTAGTTTAGGGCTTCTCTGGATGAGCACTTTAAAAGCCCCTCCCTAAACTACAAACTCCACAATTCTGCAGGAGGTAGTCACAGCATTTAAAGTGGATTAAAGTGGTTGAAGTATGATGCCTCTGAGAAAGAGGACTTGTATAAATTATTCCTTTAGAATAATTTTCTAAAGTTTCCCATGGGCAAACCCAGACATATGGGCTGGATGTAGCCCTTGAGGCTCTTGCCTGTGGTCCCAGCCTAGTTTCCAATCATGTGGCATAGCCCTGGCCTGAGCCCTCCTAATCACACTATCTATGTGTCACCATCCCCTCCCATGAAGAGGAGCACCCTGTATGCACATGTAGCTGTGTGGGGTTCTCCCACGGCTCCTCTTTGGAGGACATAGACTGCCGTCTCCTTCCATGAAGAGGAGTACCCTGCATGCATCAGCCTTGCACGTGCAAACCCCTCTCCCACCCCACACCCCGGTGCCAACCACCCCCTGGCCACCTCCCTGCACCAACTGCCTCGCCCAGCTCCCACTCACACACACACTGCATCAACCCTCACCTCCGCCCGCCCAGCCCAGCCTGGCATGTGGCCCCCTTTCTGAAGTTTGCCCATGCCTGCTCTAGTGAGAGTGATTTGCAGGAGTTAAAAGTGTAGCCTATGAATAAATACAGAAGCATTATTAGTGAGAGAAACTGGAACTCTAAAATGAAGAACAATTAAAACACACACACAAACAATAAAAGTAATTCAGATCCTGGTATTTCTGAAATGAATTTAAGACAAGGTAACAAACCATTCTATTTACAAAATATGATTACATAAGCTGTAGGAAATTAAATAAAATCCAAATAATAATACTGATAATAATTCCAAAATGCTAAAAAAATAAAAATAAAGATTTTTTGATCATCTAAGAAAAGAAAGATCAATGCAGAAGTGTTACAAGCTGTATTAATGATGGTGGTGGCACATGAGAGAAGCCTCCCACAAGGATGATAAAAACATCAAATCATCCAGGCGTCCCCTGGGCAACGTCCTTGCAGACAGCCAATTCTCTCACACCAGAAGCAACTTGCAGTTTCTCAAGTTGCTCCTGACACGACAAAAAAATAATGATGGTGGTGGTGGTGATGATGATATAAGGAATTGAATTCTCATAAATGGCAGAAAGCATGTGTAAGATTTAGGAAAGTGTAGGTGTTGCACTCCAGGACAGGAAAAGCCCTCTGACTTTAAACACCACACTGCTGGATGGAAAACAATCATTTTAGTGAAGATAATTAAAAAGCAGTAAGGTAAAAAAAAAAACACTTTAAAGAAAAAGGTAAATCCAATTAGGTAGGAAGATAAGCAGGACTGCTAGGTTAGCAGAATTTGGGGCTAACAGCGGGAGCTCAAGTCGCTCCCCGGAATCGAACCTGCGACCTTTCGGTCTGCAAGTTCAGCAGCTCAGCTATTTAACCAACTGCGCCACTGGGGTATAAAGTACATTTTTTAAAATTTTAAAAATAAATATCAAAAAATTGGGGTAGTTTTCAGGGGGCCGAAACAGATTAATAGCATTTAATGAGAAAATTTGGTTTGAGAGAATAATGTTTTGATTCAAAAACACTGTCACAGAATGAATTAAATTGTTAAGTCAAGGTAGCACTGAAGCTTATATTTATTATCTTTCATGATTTCTATTATCCTGCATAAGGAAGAGAGGTTGGAGTGGAAGAGGCTAAATTTGCTGTTTGAACTGGGGTCTCATGCTTCTTTCAAAGATGGTTGGAGTGTATTGGAATGGATTCCTATGATGGTGTAATTCCACACAGTTATGCATTGACTTATGGAGCCATGGAGTACAGGGCTCTTTTTTTCCCATTCACTTTGCCCTGGACATCTGGTAGCCTCACTAACATGCAATCCAATGGGAGCATACCATTGAGAAATGAATCCATTGCTGTTGTGGTTTTGAACTTCTTTTTAAAAGAAAATTCCCACCAGCAAATAGCAGAAAGTTTCAAACAACCAAGATGGCAATCACCCCTTCCTAGACTAAGAGTTTTATAATTTGCACAAAAGATGAGCCTGAAATTTTGGGTGATTGAAAGACCATTCAAAGAAAACTGTCTTGCAAGAATGTTTATTTGCACAGATTAGGATTTCTCCCATTTGTTATAAATTCACATTATACAAAACAAATGCAAACAATAATGAGCACAGCTCTTTAGTCATGTGCAGCCTAGGACTGCGACTCATACTGCGATTCTAATACATGGCACCTTGTAAGAACCTGTGTCTGTAGTTATGAAAGTAGTTTATTCCTTTTCAAATAGCACAAGATATTTTCAGAATGAATGGTGTTGCCTTTGGGTCAACAAAACAGTAAGATTCTTACCAAAGTCAAGGCAATGTCCACATTACATGGTTTAGTAGTATTAAACAGGATGCATTCCGGTTTCTTTAGTCAAGTTTCCATAGGAAAGATGTCCACTTTTTCAACTGGAAATATTGGCACACTAACGTGATGCCAAAGTCCAAATGCCCAAGTGGCAAGTCCAAGAAATAGTAGCCAAGAACTGCTACTGTCTCAAAACGTGAACAGTCCATCCTTCGCAGCCAAATACTGCCGATGGATTTTGTCTTGCTGCTGTTCCTCGTGGTTTGGGTGCCAGAGCTTCAAGATTACTCTTTCAATGTTGAGGGCATAGACTGTGTGAGCAGGAACCACTTCTCGATGAATCTACAGGGAACACATGAAAACATAGGAAGATCAAGAAATGCTAGTTTAAAGCTGAAAGCACCCATATTCCTCAACTGGAGCTAATTATCTCCATATATTCATGTGATCATTATACTTCACCAATCAAAATGCCAACCAAAATGAAGCAAGAAACAATGTGTGGTGGTACTGGGGGTCATGAATACTTCCAAATCTGATACAGGATAATATTATGTTTCCCACAGATAAACAGGATAAGGAAGTGCTGCATTTTAACCACTCAAAGCTACAAAAAACTGTTGTTTAATTTTTCAAGATCTGTTTCTTTCATGGCACATATTATGTATACCAGTAACTACCGTATTTTCTGGCATATAAGACTACTTTTTAACCCAAGAAAATCTTCCCAAAAGTCAGGGGCTGTCTTATACGCGGGAATAGTCTTATACGCCGTGAGTCGTCTTATAGAGAGGGTGCTGACACTTCTAATCCGGATTGGAGAATCTGTGGTTGCTGCATATTGTGGGGGGAGCTCAAAAATGGCAGTGGCCTCGTCCCTGCCATATGCAGCGACTGTATGAAAGCATTAAGGGTGACTCTGTACAAGTACGGTAGAAGAAAATCCATTCATCAGGATTTGTGGACTTAATGTGGTCCCGATGGTGAGGTGAAGGGGCGCCTCACAGAGAAGGTGTAAGTGAAGGGCAGAGCAAGCTGCAGGCGTCCGGGGCACTCATGGTATGGAAAAAAGAGATAAAGTGGCTCTGGGCCCAAAAAAACACACCTCTTTTACCTGTCTGGCCTGCCCTTGTATCCTATCACTGTACCTCCGCCTCTGCCGCTCAGAACTCGCTCCTGAAGACTGCAGTGGAAGAGGGGTAGCCTTATACGGCGAGTATATCCTAAACTCTATATTTTAACTGGAAAAGTTGGGGGTCGTCTTATACGCCCATACGTCTTATATGCCGGAAAATATGGTATATTTTGAGGGTACCCTTGTCACTCCCACAGCCAAAAAAAAAAGCTCAAGATTCACAGACAGATATCTGGGTACAGTATAAGTCTTTGTAAAATGAGAGATACTTCTATGGATCACGAAAAGGACCTGTTTGCCTGGACCAGCTACTACTGTAAGAAATGCATTTCTTCTCCCAGGACAATCCAAGGTAAGCTCTCAAAGTGCACCCTTAGAAGCCGTTTTGCATAGGAAAAGCACTCCCTCCTGATGTCCTGCTCCAAGTCACACTAAGGAGTAGAATAGAAATATTACCTGAAGTGTTTCAAAGAGATCATACATATTCACAGGTGGCAGAGTTGCTGGCAAAATGTCTCCAGAACATGCAAGAAGGAGGGCTGCTTGCTGCTCAGCATCATCAGATGGTGGATGGGAAGCAGCATTATGACCAGGCGGGGGAACTAAGTAAGTGGGCGGACTGCAAAAAGAGAAATATAATGTTGGGTGAGAGAAGGAATCAGCAATACATTTTTAAAGCACAAGGATACTGCCACCATCATCACGAGTTTGTCTGAATACTAGAAGTGAACATTTTAATTCAACGCTTCTTTTTTAAAATCATATTGTTCAAACTATTTTCCAAAGTTCAGAATGACCCAGGCACCAGGCTTCTTAAGAGAACTAGTGTGAATTAGCATTTAGACTATGACTAGGAGACTGAAATTTAAAGCCATGACACTAAAAGGGTGTTCTTGCAGAAGTCACTATTTCTCAGTCTACCTATTGGATTGTCATGGAAATATAAAGTGAGAACAAAGCATGCCACTCTGAGCTACTTAAAGGAAAAACAGGATATGTATTTAGGAAACAGATATTTGTATTTCTTAGTTGACTATCTCTAGCGATTTAGGGCAAATTATGCCAGGTTTCCTGTGAGATGTAAAGTTTCCACCAGGTTGGCAACCATAGCTGAAATGCTCATTTATTATTATTAACGATCAACTGAGAAATAAGATACAAAAAACTTAGATAACAACTATTTTAACAGGAAAAGCCAGCAGCAAACAAAAAAAATGAATTTTATGTCAGAATAGTTATTTCATATGTATGTATGTTTTTCAATGTGTTTGCATTAGTATTATAATGTATCAGTATTGCTTCTTAAAGATGGATTCAGTCATGTTCATTTACTGTTCAGCTCACATATGTTATTGCTACAAAGTTACAGGCCAGACAGTGAAACTGTGATAACACGAAATTCCTTTGCCCTGAGAGAAATTAAGGAGTGTACCAGCCAAGAACATAGATAAGACAGAAGGGCGGTTCTTATGTTTGCTGGGTCTTCTTGCTATGCTTTGTTCGTCACCATCTTTAGTTCCACAATGTAGTCTTTGTGTGTAGACATCTTAAGTAAAGCTACCTTGAACTTTAAGAAGAATGCTGCCTGAGTTTGTTTATTTTGAAACCACACGCTTGCTGTGCCGAGACTGGAGAGTCTGACTGCTAACATTTTAGTAGTGTCACCTAACTACTAGAGACTTTCTTGTCTTACTACAACAAAATAATTCCACTGAAAAATACTGGTATGTCTTATATTCTGAAAATATTTGCTGAGCTGCATTAATACTAGGTGTTTCCTTACCACTCTGTTAAATTATTGTAGGCGACAACACTGTTCTTCAAATAAGGTTGTGGATTGACATTGCTTCCAAAGGCATATTTAAAGTGACCATCTCTCAGGCGGTAGGCTTTTCTTCTTGATATTATACACGAAAGGATGTCTTTAACATGTTTCTGCAGGGATAAAAGTTATATTTACTGCTTGAAAAAAGCATTCCTTAAAAATCAAACGTTACCAAGCATGATGTTGCATTGTAGTTTCTGTTAAAATGCCAGAGATCTCAAAACTCCATGTCTGGTGGACATCTTCCAGTGCCTTAACAGCTGCATCACTGTCTAATGGCGGTGACCAGAATGGGACAAAGCATTCCAAGTCAGATATGATCAAGGATTAATGACACTATTACTTTCCTTGACCTAAACACTATGCATCATTGTGTATTTGTTTTGGCATTACACTGCTGACTCGCTTTCAACCTGAGCTCTACTATGACCAGAGGTGTCACCCATTCTATATTTGTGCATTTCATTTTTTCCTGTCTAAATTGAGTACCTTATGCAATGTGCAATGTGGCAGCTAAAAAAATCAATGTGGTTTTGGCTGCATCAATAGGAGCACAGTGTCTAGATCAAAGGAATCAACAGTTCCACTATCTTCTGCTTTGGTCAGACCTCACCTGGAATATTGTGTCCGGTTCTGGGCACCACAGTTCAAGAAGGGTATTGACAATCTGGAACGTGTCCAGAGAAGGGAGACCAAAATGATCCAAGGTTTGGAAGCCAAGGCCTATGAAGAATGGCTTAGGGGATTGGGTATATTTAGCTTGGAGAAGAAAAGGTTGAGAGAAGACATGATAGCCATATTTAAATATTTGAAAGGAAGGGGAAAAGCTTGTTTTTTGATTCTCGAGACTAGGACACAGAGCAATGAATTTAAACTACAGGAAAATGAAAATGAACATTAGGAAGAACTTCCTGACAGTAAAAACTCTTTGGCAGTGGAATATGCTGTCTCACAAGGTGATGAAGTCTTCTCTCTGGAGGTTTTTAAGCAGAGACTGGATGGTTATCTGTTGGGGTGCTTTAATGGTGTGTTCCTGCATGGAGAGTGTGGGGATGGACTGAATGGTCCTTGTGTTCTCTTCCAACTCTATAGTATAGACATAATGGTGGCAACAATCTTCCTTTATTAAGATATGCCCCATTCACATATAAAAGTATCAGAAGAAAAATATGGAGATCTATTTTTAAAATCAAAAGAAGCTCTTTCTAGCCTCACGACCCTGAAGTCTATCCTTTTAATTCCCATAGTCCCAACAAGCCACAGGCAACAAAAATAGACAGCTACCCTCACCCACAATCTGATGAAATAATTAGGCCCACTCTCCCATTCATTCCGCTTTGATGTGTAAAGGGCAGACTCACAACAACAACAAAATGTGACCATTCCTATCACACAAGGTGAACCTGAAATTTTCAAGCAACTGCTGCCTGAGATGGACATGACAGTCCACACAAAAGGGTCACCTTTTCCCATCATTTTCTAGGAATGAGAGAAAAAAACAATCCTGGAAAACAAAGCAGAAGATGAAGTAGCCCTGTGAATATGGTGAGTGTGGGTGCAGCAGAACCCTGGTGACCTTAGATCATGCGCAACAGATGCATTTCCCCCAAATTTATCTGTATAATCAAGAAAACCAAGAGTTTCTTTTAAATCAAAAACAGTGCTTTTCATGAACGCCAATCAAGCAAATCAGATATTGCATTAGAACCATATTTGGTTTGTTTTCTTATGCTTTGCCTCTTAGGCAATATTAAGAGCTAAGAAATATTAAGTGCCAGCTCTTGTGCAAGAGTTGCAGAAAGAAAAGAGAAAATGCATGACTAAATTCATATAATACAAACTAATAGAGAATGTTTTGTTTCTATTGTTACATGGATGTCTGTTTTGCTCCTGTCAGCCAATCCAACTGTGTTTTCTTGCTGTGTACCATAAACAAAACTCTTGGATTCTTTGTCCTCAAACTAAGGCCCGAGGGCCGGATACAGCCCTCCAAGGTCATATAACTGGCCCTTGCTCAGGGTCAACCTAAGTCTGAAATGACTTTGAAAGCACACAACAACAACAATCCTACCTCATCAGCCAAAAGCAGGCTCACACTTCCCATTGAAATACTAATACGTTTTTATTCATTTTAATTATTGTATTGTTTTAAAGTGTTTTTTGCACTACAAATAACATATGTGCAGTGTGCATAGGAATTCATTCGTGTTTTTTTCAAATTATAATCCAGCCCTCCAACAGTTTGAGGACCCTGGTCTAGTCAATGGAATCAGGACCACAGTTGGCATCCTATGTTCTCTCACCTCCACAGCATGGACCACAAGTGTCACTGCTTCTTCGGTAACATTATCCAGGCCATGTTCATAAGCAGAGACAATCATCCTTCCCTCCAGTTGGCCCCAAGTGGGAAGCATCATGGTGTGTGAACAGAGCTTCAGGTCATCATCTTCTTGGGGATCCTTGGCCACAAACTGTTGAGCCCCAGACAAAGGATTCTGTGGCTGGAAGCGGTGCTATAAAATATAACAGGAAGGTTTAATTGCTAGTCTATGACAATGCAGAGCTTGTTTGCTAGTCTACAACAATGTAGAACTAAGGGCGCTCCAACACTGACATTATTAATCAGCTTGGAGTCAAATTGAGAAGAACTGGTTTCACCGTGCAGGTGATCAGATTGCAATGCCTGGAACTGGTTTGAGGCCAAGAAAGTTATTACATTAACCACGAAACCTGGCCTCAAACTACTTTGCAAGGTCCCTCCCCTAAATATCCTGGTGAGATGTACATCAGCACAATGGAGACATAGGAGATGGGAGGGAAAGGGGAAAAAGTAAAAGGTAGGGGCGGAAATAATCAATGATTAGACCCCTGTTGCCCAGCTATACCCTTGGCACATTTTTCGGCAGCCCTGCACTTCTGCACCTTCCCCACCTTCTGTCCCAGACCAGTGCAAGCTGGCAGGTCTTTGGATGTTTGCAGACCCACAAGTTGCATTTTAAACGGCCCTGTACACAGTGATAGCTTTCCTACAGACACTTGTAATTCCCAAAGAACAGAAGTGATGCGTCTTTTTGCAATTTTATAAACATATCACTATTTTGCTGCAAATCTGCCAGTTAGACTTCCATGTTATTTTAGCTCCAGTTCCACTGTATCACTGGAAATAGGTTTTTCTCATAACATTTTAGGGATAAGTCATCCCTTTCAGTCTCTAACAGACAAGCCCATTCTTTTAAGTTTAAGATTTTGGTTAGAATCTGTGTCTTCTGTTTTGTGGTGTCTTCAGGGTCTCTGTCAAACTGTCTATTTCTTCCTCCAAGCCTTTAGCTAAAATGCTTTTTCAGTTCCAAATAAGGTTTTCAGACTTCTGTCTCAGTACTGGGGAAAGTTTTGCAACATGACCAATTGATTAATCTTTATTTGTGTTGCTTGAGTTCAGACACTGTCCTGTGAGAGTCAAACTCTAGCTCCACCAGTCACGTGCAATCTCTGATGTCACCGCTTCATTACAATTAAAAAACATCGTGGTAACACCACCCAAAGCATATTTAAGGAAAGGTAAAGGTTTCCCCTTGACATCAAGTTTAGTCAAGTCTGACTCTGGGGGATGGTGCTCATTTCCATTTGTAGGCCAAAGAGATGGCATTGACAGCAGACACCTCCAAGGTCATGTGGCCGGCATGACTGCATGGTGCACCGTTAATTTCCTTCCTCCCCAGATCTGAACCACTAACATTTCGGTCAGCAAGTTCAGCAGCACAGCAATTTAACCCGCTGTGCCACCGGGGGCTCCATATTTATGTGACCGCTAATCAAAATGACAGCCTCCTTTTAAGTGTATTATTCCTGCTCTCCAATGTTATCACACTATCACTAGTAAAAAGGATGGAAATACATAGTTTAGTGATGATGAAATACTTAGCCAACTGTGCAGTGTGTTAAGAAAAGGGGAAGGGAACATGAAATGGGGCAAACAATTCTGCTGGGAGCGCTTCATGTCTTGTATGATGACTTCCAGCCTCTAGGCTCAATTTGCCAATTTCCACAAATAAAAAACTATAACTTACATCAAACTTTTGTCGAACAGAAGAAAACTTTTTCTTTCCTTTGGGCTTCCCAGGTTTTGTGGCAGATCCTCCTGTCCATGGCAGAGATCCAGCACCCTCTGGAACAGGAAAGAATTAAACATCAAGTTACCGATTTGCCATGCCCCTCTGTTAGGCTGAGGCTGGCGAGTTCACCAGCTTTGTGCGGTTCCCAACTGCCCTCACTCATGAGGAGGGGAGGTTTTGAAGGCCTCATGAATGAGGGCAGTTGGGTATCAAGTGGGACTGACTTTGGGGAGGAAGCAGGCAAGAGACCCCAAGGACTGTCCGGAAGGTAGGATGCGCAGCCAAGTTCTGGGCCAGAGGGATGTGTTCAGGTCATTGCTTACTACTCCTTTGGCCAGAGAGGCCTGAAAGCCCCACAGCCCCTCTGCAACTAAGCACCAGGAACAACTGGGTTGCTAGCCAGGTGCTCTTCCTTCTCCAGAAGCCACAAAGCCCTGAGGCCACTGTCACTGCAAGGAACAGTATCTTAGCCCCCTATCTTAGCCCCCTGCATCCAGCCTCCAGAGCTCTGCATCCCTCTAGGCCTTTTCATACAGATGGGTTTATGTGCGTGATTCTAATGTGCCAACACATCTAATGCACACCTCGACTTTGGCAATGCAATTTAGCCAAAAGAGGCGAGCATTAGACTTGAGGAAATATGGTAAATATCCCTGCCCAGTTTTAAGTACTTTTTATCTGCTTCCATTTTAGTAGGAAATGTCAGCATCACCCACCAACTGTCTATGGCAAGAGCCAACTATTTATTTTCACCTTGCAAAGGAGTGGGCTAGTACGCAGAGGTAGGAGCTAATTCATCTTCCCAGAACCACCCCTTTCAGACAAACTCCCACAGCACACCAAATCCCTGCTTTGCACAGAATAGACAGGGTTGCAGAATTGTTTCCTAGTGCGAAATGATGACAACTGTGCTAAGAGCCACTAGAACTCGCAAGGCATTTCAGGCCTGTTATAATCATTTCACACCTGGCTATGGAGATGTAACCAGATGCTTCTGCCTACCCTGCCAACTTTTAACAAACCAAGAAATGAATGTGCTGGAGGATGGTAATCTTTAAGATTTTATATGGCCCAGCATGCTATGGTACACTGAGTCATACAGGACTGCACCCAATAAATGTCAGGCATTTCACTATGAACATAAAATATAAATAAAGGTAGGCCAGAAGTATCCCATTAGAAAGGCTGGTACATTCTCATAAAATAGCAGAGCCACTTCCAAAGCTCTTTGTGGCACTAGCAATACATAACTTTACAAAACACAGATGGTCAATTGATGGCGCTGATAGTACAAATGAGCATAGGCATGTAGAATTTGTGACATATCTTGATGAAAATAAGAGTTGTGCTGTGGTGTTCCCACCTTCCTTTCCTGTGCTATGTTGCTGCACGTTCTTCTGTTCAGAAGACCAAGAAAACCCGCAAGGCACAGGGGCATGTGCATTCACATAGGAGAGTGCAAATATTGCTTATTGTGTATTTTCTGTTTTGAGTTTTTTTAACTGTTTTGTATTGATTATTGTTATTGCTTTTGTTTATTGTATGTGTTGTGGGCTTGGCCTCATGTAAGCCGCACCGAGTCCCTTGGGGAGATGGTAGCGGGGTACAAATAAAGTTTTTATTATTATTATTATTATTATTATTATTATTATTATTAAATATGATATACAATCAATACTGTATTTGCATATTTTGGACTTGTTTTACTTATGGTAGCTTGCTCCAAAAATTAGTCACCATCCTACTAATGACATTCTGAAGCTGAAAATGAGGTCTAACAACATATGGTGGAGAGTAGGATGGCCCTGAAGAAGTGTATCAGACTGGAAACTGGGTTGAGGAGAAGCAGGAGATAATTTTGGATAGGTGCAACCACTTGGGGTTTCTACTACAATGCCAACAGTAAACATGGCAAAAATCCTATGAATAGAAAAAATGACGCTAAAAGTGGTCTCTGTGATTTTTACTTGATAAATAGGAGGTAGAGTATATACAGAAACAGATATAAGCCAAAAGGTTCCAGGATAGTCTTGTGTCCAGTGCAACCGTTTGGGAATTTCACTTCTCTTACAACTATATCATAACTTATGGCATACATATTCTATACATATATGTTTCTTGTAACAAAGTCATAGAACAGTGGTTCTCAACCTCTGGGTCCCCAGATGTTTTGGCCTTCAACTCCCAGAAATCCTTACAGCTGGTAAACTGTCTGGGATTTCTGGGAGTTGTAGGCCAAAATACCTGGGGACCCACAGGGTGAGAACCACTGTCATAGAATGAAAAACACAGCTTTTGGCAACTTGATATGACCAGGTATCACACTACCATGGTTCTGTATACTATATTTTATCATATATATAACATTTTCACAAACCAGCCAGCTTACCTGTGCTATTGATTACTGTGTCTTCTAATTGCTTCTGCTTGCAACAGGAGTGGCTAAATGAGACATTTGGTCAATATTGTAAATGTTTGGTTCATTTAGCTGCTCCTGATGGAAGGCAGAGTAATCAGTAGCAGAAGGTAACATGCTGGTTTGCAAAAAATATCTGTCAATGTGGAAAACCAGGTCACTTACTCATTTGAATCAAAGAAAGAAAATTATATTCTCTTCTTCTCTTGCAAGTTTCAAGAAAAAAAATAATGATCTTATTGCTTACTTCATTCCTAATTCATTGTTTGAAGATATTCTGGATATGTAACATGTGTGCCAACAAACAAATCTATTATACTAGATTGAGTGAGGACCCAGTTTTAGTTCCCTGAACATTCAAACAAAGACTTGTAGCTTTACTTTTGAAGTACGGTTTAATTTTAATGTAGCCCCAATGGGTCTCACCTGCAAGTAAAAGTTCTGAAAACTATATAACCCTGACTTCTAATTCTGACTACTTCTCTTGTTTTACTATGTGCCCAATCTAAGATTTCTGTATACTTGAGACAGGAAAAATATGTTTGAGAAGCTTGAGTCAAAACATTCCACCAGGCTTCTTAGCCTAGAGTCAGGAAGTTAAAGACCTGGCTGTTTAAGAAGGCATTTGATCAAGAAGTGCAATGACTGGTAATTTAACCATAGGAATGGAATAACGGAAATGATATCGGATTGTGGGTTTGACGATGAGACGACTCGGAATGGATTTTGTAGTAATGTTGATGTTTTGATAAGATGTTTTTCTGATAATGATGAATTGTGGATTATTTTACACTGTGTTTTGTAATTTGCACTTGTTTTCCATGTTGTACACCGCAATGAGTCGCCCTTGGGCTGAGAATTGCGGTCTATAAGCGCAGTAAATAAATAAATAATAATAAATAATAAATAAATGTGCAATGAAACGACCAAGTCTATGGCCCCATCTACACTGACCACTTTATGTAATTTGAAGCTAATTTCAAACTGTGGAGGAGAGACAACAAACTCCCACTAAAAGGTATGCATAAAAAGCCCTTACTGTGCATCAGGGCTTTGTGTAATTACTATCTGAGCCTCAAACTGGTTTCAGAATTTCCTATGTAATCATCTGCACAACGAAACCACTTTCTTCAATACCAGTTTGAAACTGCATTAAATGATCAGTGTAGAAGGGAGCTTTCATGCAAGCCAGTTGAGATAATGAGTTCATTGCTCACGAGGAATTCAAGTGCAGGAAAGGATCCCAGTTTTGTAAGGAGCCAACAGTATTTTCAAATCAGATTGGGAAAACTCTTTCACTTTTAAATTGATCAATTGACCCGTAAGTAAAAAAAAAATATATTAGCCACTGCTATAAAAGCAAGTTAAAGTGAAGATAAGGATGCTATTGAGCAGTAGGCCATTCAATCCCCATACCACCTTTTGACTTAGTTAAAAGGAAAGAACTGTGGGATTTGTGCTAAAAACCCAAATCACAAAGAGAAAAAAAACTTGTGTTGCCAATCTGAGCTTTGTTTAGTTAAAATGAAAGAATGGTATCCTGGTAATAGAAAAAAAATGATTATAAATCTCTAGGAGTCATAACTGAAGCTACAGACCAAAAATCAAGACAAACAATACTGGAGAAAACTTGCAGCCTGATCCTATATTTAGCTGGAAATAAACAGCACTCCATTTAAGGGAGCTTACTACCAAATAAACATATTGAGCGTTGGCAGCTTTCACAATTTACCATAACTCACACAACTTCTGAACTATATAGATTTTTTATTATGTATTTGCATTGTGCTACAATTTACTGTCTGTTTCCGTCTATCTTTTTGCCTGTTTATGGTCAGCTCTACCTACATGGCTGTTTACGACTTTATTACTCCTTGTTTGCTTACTTAGATTCTGGACTTTTGAATTCTAATTGGCTCTTATCTAGTTCCTTAATGTTTTTGGGGGGTTTTTTTGCACTTAGTTTACCTATTTCTCCCATGAGTTCTTTCTTGCTTTCCTGTGACTTGACAAAAAGCAGCAGGGTATTTTAACTCAATATCAAAATCTGGGTAACAAGGTAGAACAACACAAAGTAACACACTTCTCATTGTAAGACTGAGCAAAAGGGAGTAAGAGCTTGATAAGATTTCAATTTTCACAGTTCTCTATATCTACTATTTGAGAGATGTGGCAAAAAAGTCAAATGACCATGAAACTTTGTTATCATAGAGAATTGGCAAAAACAACTCTCTATGCACAGGCAAGATATCAAAAAGGACTGACAAGAGTCTGCAGGCTACTTTGCAAGATTCCAGAAGAGTTTATATTCTCTAAGCTCCTTGACTCCATGGCCGAAAAGATAAACTTTATAGAAACATAACAGTACTGAAATAAATTGCAAGAGATACATATAAACTATGTCTTCAACTCTTACACTGCAGCTTGGTTGTTGGGTTGGGTTTTGTTTTGTTTGTTCTAGAACTATCACTGTACATGTTACTTTACGGAACAGCATGACCAAATCACATATTGTTGTCCCAAGTCACTTAAACTGTATACTTCAATTCTAGGGGAGGGGTGAAACAACAGAGAAAAGGACAAAGGTGTAACATATAAGAAAATGGAGATATAGAAGAGTCCTGTTAAAAACACAGTGACCCTGATATGGCTGGAGCCCCTCTAATACTGATACCATTTTGGCTGATGTAATAACAACTAGGAAGAGAAATGCTGAATGAGAGCCTTTATTACCTTGTGGAGGTCCCAAGTAGGAAACCTGTAGTTAAAGGGAGGCTTAAGGCATTTGGTACCCCTGAGGAATTGATGGACATGAACATGCGAGGGATCTGGAACCCTCCCTGTGCCACTGAAAAACCAAAGGAATTGTGAAGGTCCCAACTATGGCCTAAAATTATGTCCCTGAACTTTACTGCTGCACTATTCAAAGCTGTAATGACCCTATCATAACTGCTCTTATCCTTACACTGCTATATGACCTATGCGTCTTATTGACTAGCCTATTTTCTAATTTTGTACACCTGTCCGTCTATCTTTAGTTATTGCTTATGATGCCTGTTGTATTATTGTTATAATGTTGTTTTATGTTGTCTTACACAGTTGTTACATTTTTACATGATATGTTTTTAACTGTGTGATTGGGCTTGGCCCCATGTAAGCCATCCTGAGACCCTTTGGGGAGATGGAGGAAGGTTTAAAAATAAAGTTATTATTATTATTATTATTACTATTATTCAGAAGGTTCTGGGATTGAAGGTCTTTTGAAGACCCACCTATAGGAAGGTTAGAAGCAGATATTATATGAGATGGAAACCCCATCTTGCTACACCAGTGAAGAAGAAGAAGAACTTTATTTTTCTACCTCGCCTCCATCTCCCCGAAGGGACTCGGGGCAGCTTACATGGGGCCCAAGCTCAGGCAGAATACAATTAGAATAAAGCAATAAAAATTAAAACAGCATAAAACAGCGTAAAACAACATAACAAAAATAGCTACCAGTGGTAAAAAGCTCTCCAAGAGGACTCATAAACTTTATTTGTGGAGATTTTCCAAGAAGCCCAAATGGTAAGATTAGATTTCCTACAGCTGAAATAGTCCCACCCATCATGCGTTCCTATCCCTTTTAGTATTCCTGACCATGGAATCATATTCAGTTTTATCTTAAGTTTGCTGAAATCAGCTTCCTTTAATTCTAGCATGCATGTCTACCTATGCTTGACTTCCGCTTTCTGTTTACTACAAACTCTAATAGAACATGGTCATTCCCACCTAAGGAACTCACTACATCCATCTCATTTAACAGGTCACTATTGTTGGTTAGAATCAGATCTAAAAAAGGTGATCCCCTTGTTGCCTCTTTCACCTTCTGAACCATGAAATTGTCTGCAAATGAGGCATTTGTTGACCCTGATATTCTTGGCAGAGTTTGACTTTCAACAAATATCAGAATAGTTGAAATCTCCTATTACTACTACACCTCTCCTTTTTCAGGTTAGTGAGGCTCTTATCAACACCATTTCTCCCAACTTCTGTAAGGTGCAACCCATGCCTTACCACGTATCATCTGCAAAGCCAGTTATTTATTTCTATTATGCCCCTCTCCCTTCCTGGGCCATGTCCTTGAAATGGAAAGAACAGCAAAATGATGACCTAGGCATCAAGGCCCTACCCATCAGAATCCCGTGTGATCTCCTGAAGGCTTGCAATGTCATTGGTTCCCACATAGGTCAAAGGGAAGTGGTAATCAGGCCTGTAGCCGGAGGGGGGGGGTGGTTAGGGGTTCAAAACCCCCCTGAGACGTTTCAGATTTTTTTTAAAAAAACTGGTTTACTCATGAATTTTAACTGGTTAACCAAATCCCCATGCTAAGTCTATGAGACACAAAAAATTAAGAGTCCCTCCAGAACTGCAAGCACTATCTCAAGCAAATCTTGACAATTTATTCACACTGTCATTACTTGCAGCAATAGCCGATGTAGTGAAGCAACCAAGTTGGGGGGTGGTGGTGTTGAATGCTCTCATTAAGGAGGCCAGACTTGGTGGAGGTGGTTGACAGGGGCGTAGCTGCAGGCTATTGAGGCTGCTCTGACCCCTGCTGTGCTCTTTGCTTCAGCATGAGCTAGGAGGCAGGTTTCAACCCCCCCTGCGAAATTTTCAACCTCCTCCTCAAATTTTCAACCCCCCTGAAAAATATTTCTGGCTACGGCCCTGGTGGTAATGGTCTGTGAACTTTACAAGCCTTGTCAGTCTCTCAAATTTATTCTGTAGCTCCAAATTTACAGAATGATTCCTGGTCCTTCTACTTCAATGTGCAATTTTCCTCCAAATGTCTACATCTTGTTTTTGGGGAGTGACCTTCTCCTTGGAGAGATCTCCTGTGTGTTTCTCCTGCAAGACAATCTGCTCTGCTGGGTTCAATATAGCTTCTTCCTTCCTAACATGTTGGAGTTGGATTCACGGGCTTCGAGGTACTAGACCCTATCTTCCAAGAGAGCCACTAATTTGCACTTGTTGCTAGTATAGCTAACCACATCCTTGGGCAAGAACACAAACATTCCACAGCTGTTTCAGGTGACTGCATGAGCTTCCTCACAGTCCATTTTATTAGACTTAAGTAGATAATTAATTAGAAACCAAGAGCCTTCCCTGCCTAACATCCATGAAAAGATTCCTGTTTATCTTGCCTGTTCACCTCACTCCTGTATGCCTTGCTCCAGGAACCGCTGCTGTAGATATAGACAGAGCTAGTGGTGATCAGATCCTCACTCAGCTCTCCCAGCACAGGATTAAGAGTAATGTATAATGTTTTATAAAACACAATACATTTTAAAAAGTATTGTAAAAGTTACTAAACTAAATTTAAACTAAACTTCATTTTTAAAAACTTGTTTAAATTTTTTTTATAATGCATTAAAAACTTTTAATCATAATAAGATAGAAGCCCCTCATTAAAAGTTCTCTCTGCCTCGGCATACTAAAATCAAAATGCCTCCTTAAATAAAAAGGATTTTACTTGGAAGGAGAAAGACAAGAGGGAAGGGTGCAACTAGACTCCTCATGGAAGGGAGTTCCACAACTTGGGAGATTTATTTATTATTTATTTACTATATTTATATACCGCCTCTATCAACCCGAAGGTGACTTGGGGAGGAGAAGGCACTGAACAACTCTTATCACACATCCCCACCAAGCATGCCTGTGATGTCACTTAACAATGGAAATGTTGTAGTCACAAAGCTCCACAGCAAGAGGGAAAGTGGGTGTTGGAGAAAGTGGCATACAGGGTCGTCTTCTCCTGTACAATCCAACCCTTAGGACACCAAGGTTCTTGGACGTGGGGGGGGGGTATTCTAGCCTGCCAGTAAACAACTGGTGACTGTCTCCCATAGGACCTTTTCACTGGCCGCTCCAAGGCTGTGGAATGACTTGCCAAAAGAGCTTCCATTGCCAAAAGAGCTTCCATTGCCAAAAGAGCTGTGGAATGACTTGCCAAAATGAGCTGTCAGACTTTAAAATACAACTAAGGACTTATCTCTTCCAGCAGGCCTGCCCAATCAACTTTGAACCATGAGTTTTGAATTTGCATTTTAGTGCTGTTATAGTTTGATCTTTGTACCATGTATTTTGTTGTATGTATGTTATACTGATGTGTTCTGAATTTGTTGTACTATGCCTCAAGCCGTTAGGAGAGGCAGGTGACAAATAAAATGTTTTGTTGTTTCAAGTCAGCTATGCATTTTCAGGCGATCAGCAACACTAGTGCAATGTGAAATACACCGACAAATAGATGTCATAAATAATAACACTATCATGAAGTCAACCAGATACAACACCAAGAGAAGGAGCCAAAGCCTCCAGGGCCAGATTTCACTGAAAAGTTCAACAATCTGATTGTTACGAAGCAAGGCCTCCTCTCACTCTTAAGGAACAGGATGAGAACCCTAGCAAGTGTGGGTGCAACTGGACAAACTGCCCTCCTGCAAGAAAGTGTTCCTCAGGCAAACATGGTCCTGCCTGGTACATGTGGGGTACAAGTAAAGCCAATTAGTAGAGTTACTACCGTTTCCCTCCCATAGCTTCTGCCCCTTTCAATAATACGTGGCTGATGAAAATGTAACTAGAATAATAATATCTATCATAGAGATGCCGTGATGGAGAAAGCTGTATGATGCTTTTCAGAATTCAATCTATCATTGGCTCTGACTCTATTTCTAAGGTGCAATTCAAGATGCCACTAACAAGACAAAAACTTAAAACATCATGTAATTAGCTTTTGAATTAACCCCAGTGTAAACACACCATATCTATTTCACCTATACTCCAAATGCATTTGTTTTTATAACTGACTTACCAGGTGCAGAAACCAGGATTTGGCATCGTGTAAGAATGGCCAATAGGAAGTCATTGTGAGAGTGGACTGCCAAAATAAAACATATATAGTTCACATAAAGACGAGTGCAAGCAGGTTTACAAGGCGCCTGCCTTAGCATCATAAATCTGAATACCCTTTGATCAGACTAGAAATACTGTGCATGTCTGTGCTAGTACAGAACTAGCTATTAGGTACATCTTAAGTTTATCAGCTTCTCTCTTCTAAAAAAGCCCATGTAGCCTTTGAACAATGCTGGATGGACTCTCCAGAACCAAATGATTGGATACATGAGATCTCACTTAATCATAGTGAGGTTTTATTATCCTATAGCTTCTTACCCATTTCTGGTGTACTTACAGGCCATTGCTGAATAAACATGACTGAGGCCCCTTCCACACAGCTGAATAAAATCCCACATTTTCTGCTTTGAACTGAAACATATGGCAAAGCAGATATTATGGGATTTTCTGCCTTGATCTTCTGAGATATATGGCTGTGTGAAAGGGCCCTGAGCTGATGCTTACCCTATGTAACAAAAACTGACAAATTTAACACTTTCACACCAGGAACACAAAAAGAAATACTGTTGTTTCAAGACTTTTATATTCAAGATATGGATACGCATGGCAATTTCATATATTGTAGGTTAGCTACATCTGTGTCAAGTGGTGGGAAATACCTTAAGCAAGTAGCATGGTATTTATTTGGAAAGTAGTTGTTATACACCACAAACTATGATGAATTGGTTAAGACTCTGAGATATTCATTGGAAAACTATAGCAAAATGTGCTACAGGGTGTCCCGCAAAAACCAAGCTTTTGCAGTTCAATAAACTTTTCCCATGTTTTTATTACAGAACCAATTAGGAAATGACAAAAATCGTGTTACATGGTGTTATTGCACAGCAATGCAGCTACCCCAATTTAATATACCTCATTCAATTGTGAATACAAAAGCAGACAGATTAACTAACCACCTTGTCATATTGAAAAATTTCCCCGTCGTAGGACATTTAAGCCTTATTTCAAGCATGGAGAAGTACTGAGCTCATCATGTGAGTTAAACTACTTCTGGATGTCATGCATGATTCTGTGGTTAAAAAGAGGCAGAAGTGTCCTGAAAGGAGGGAACTCCAGCAATCGACCTCATAACATTGAGAAATTAATTTCCCCCTCATAGCACACCTCAGCCTCTTTTCTAGCATGGAGAGGCATGGAGCTCATCACATGTTCCAAGGTTGAAAAGATGCAGAAATGTCCTGAAAGGAGGAAACTCTGAACACAGGCCAGCAATCTTGTTCAGAGCTCCGACCTCTTATCACATTTTACTCCCATGTTTACAATTGAAAAACAAGGGATGGGAACCATCAAAATTTTCCCACCCTGTTTTATTGTTAATCGCCAGCAGTCTCTTGTATTCTATGTGGTTTGATGCAGATCAATAGGATCCCATGGAAAACAATGGTTTTAACCTGGATCAGTTTCTTGTATCTGTGGGGTTTGATGCAGAACCATAGGATCCCATGGAAAGCTTGTATCCTATGGAGTTTGGGGGCAGAACAATTTTATCCCATGGAAAGAAGTGGTTTTAACTTGGTGTCAGTCTCATTTAATGTAAGGGGCTTTGGGCAGGGCAAGGGAGCTCTTGGTTTTTGGATATTGTTGTTTCCCCTGATTGAAAACAAAAACGTAATACTGACCTTGTGATGAATGTAAGATGAATGTATTGCCAGCTCTTAAGTTTCCATGTGTGAGTGTGATGGGGATACAGAACTCCAAAACAGGACTACTAATGACATAAGAGGCGATTCTCTACTCTTATAAACGGACCATCACCCATGCTTTCCCCTCTCAATGTGATGAGGTCGTATGAGACAGCTTCCTTACCATTGTCTTGTGTGAGGAGTCTCCGAGCTTCCAAGTCAAATTCCTCTTTGCTGATCTTCTGTTTAAACCACAGCTTCAAATTAGCCCAATATCTGTGCAAGATATGAAAAAAAGTACTATCAATGAACTGACTGTCTTTCAAAGGCCACCTTTTTATCCTAGACCACATGTGAAATGCGCACAAGTTGTTCAAAAAGTGAAGTGAGGAAGTATGTAGAAATTGACAGGTGTATGTGTGTGTGTCCCCATTTCTACATACTTCCTCACTTCCTTTTTCCATATCTTGTCCAAGCCATGCCAAGATCTGCTTTTTAATGCAATGAAATATGTGACTTTTAAAATTCATTTCATCCACAAAAGTGTTTATGTTTATATGAATATGTTTAGACTGCTTATATTGCGTTCAGTCAGTATGTTCTCTCCATTGACTAAAGTGAGTCAATATTTCACATTTGAAATATGAACATTTTCCTACATTTCCCTGCTGCTCTAGGCCAGAGTGAAGAGAGAAGGGCAAGGGGACAGTTTCACCTTGTCTCCTGTGCTATGCTAATAATATAATATTATATATTGTATATATAATATAATATATTGTATATACATTTGTATTTATTATTTATATATTTCCTATATTTATACCCTGCCCTTCTCCCCCCCGCCCCCCGGGGGGACTCAGGGCGGCCTAACAAAAGCATCATACGATACTAGTATCATAAAAACAGCCACAGTACAATCAAAATATTAAAAATTAAAACAACAATTAAAACAATTAATTAAGACACATCCATTAAAATCGAAATCCAAAAACCAGTCCAGGTCAATTCATTGCCATAAGTTATGTGATCTTCTTCCACTTGCTGCTCACTGATCAAACGCTTGGTTGCATAACCAGGTCTTGATTTTCCTTCTAAAAGGCAAGAGGGAGATGGCCAATCTGATATCTCTAGGGAGGGCATTCCATAGGCGGGGGCCACTGCTGAGAAGGCCCTGTCTCTCATCCCCATCAACTTTGTTTGCGATAGTGGTAGGATTGAGAGCAGGGCCTCTCCTGAAGATATTAAACTTCGTGATGGTTTGTGGCAGGAGATAAGTTCGGACAGGTAGTCTGGGCCAGAACTGTTTAGGGCTTTAAAAGGTTTAAAACCAGCACTTTGAATTGTGCTCAGAAGCCATAGACAATACCTGGTTTATATGTACACTAGCCGTCCCCTGCCACACGTTGCTGTGGCCCAGTCTGTGTATATGTGTTTTGTGTGTATATATGTGTGTGTTTATATTTCTGTATATGTGTATATATGTATTTTCTATTGGTCATTCATTGTAATGGAATTTTTGTTTTTGGCTTTTTAAGTACCTTCTGCTGTGTTTTTCAGTGTTTTTGTGAGTGATGGTCATTTGTTGGCCTGGCAGGTGTGTTGTGTCCAAATTTGGTGTTTCCATCTCATATAATTAAATTTTTTTAATATAGACTAGCTGTACCCGCCACGCGTTGCTGTGGTCAACCTTCCCTCTTTCTCCCCTTCTTTCCCTCCTTCCTTCACTCCCTCTTTCCTTCCTTCCCATCTTTCCTTCTCTTCTTCCTTCCTTCTCTCTCTCTTTCCTTTCTTTTCTTTCTGCTGTCTCTCTTTTCTTCCTTCTCTCTTCTTCCTCCCTCTTTCTCTACATCTTCCCCCCTTCCCTTTTCCCTCTTTCCTTCCTTCCCCCTTTTTCTTTCCCTCTCCTCTTCTCTCTCTTTCTTCCTTTCTCTACCTCTTTCCTTCCTTCTTCTCTTTTTCTTTCCCTCCTTCTCTCTTTCTTCTTTCTTTCTTTTCTCCCCTTCCCTCCCTCTTTCTTCCCTTTTTTCTGTATTGTCATTTAGCTTTTTGGGGCTTTTAAGTCCCTTCTGCTGTGTTTTTCAGTGTTTTTTTGAATGAAAGACATACATTGGGTTGTTAGGTGTATTGTGTCCAAATTTTGTATCAATTCCCCCAGTGGTTTTTGAGTTCTGTTAATCCCACAAACGAGCATTACATTTCTATTTATATATAAATGTAGTATTACTAATAATATTACAGTATAATGGCATAGCATAATATAGTAATATTTAATACTGATATTTTACTATGCTAATAATATAATATATTGTATGTATGTATCTTGTAGGCCGCTCTGAGTCCCCTTTGGGTGAGAAGGGCGGCATATAAATGTCATAAATAAATAAAATAAATGAATGAATGACGAGAGCCTTGGTTGGGGTTTGAGATGGAGGCCGATGCAGGCCTAATCCTAGGCCGAGGCTCAGCAGGTCCAGCTAGGCCCCTCCCAAGGCAGGAAAGGAGCCAAGGCAAGCCAGCTCTTGTCACTCACTGCTTTACGTTCTCGCCCAAAGCCTCGCTCAGGTTCTTCTTGGCCACCTCCAGCTCGCTCGCATAAGTCGCCATCGCAACTCCCGCCGAATTCGCCCGCCCGGTTGCTTTTCTCCGCACCGACGTCAACCTCAATGTCAATCCTCACTTATTTTATTTATTTATTTTTTTGCTTCGCGGCTCCCGCCCGCAGAGCACCAAAAAGGGCTAAAGCATTGAGACGCAGCCAATGGGGAAACGAGGACGGTCCCATTCAAAATTATTCTCTCAATCAGGCATGGGAAAGACGTCGGTCCTCCAGGCGTTTTGGACTTCAACTCCCAGGAATCCCGGTTAGTTGAGGAATTGTGGGAAATGAAGTCCAAAGCTCCTGAAGGGCTGAAGTTGAGGCACGTAGAGCAGGACAGGCCATATTTCTTTGCCGCCCAGGAAACCACGTGATCATTCTCTCGGCTGGTCTTCCAAAACTGCGCAAGCGCACTGGGAGGGAGTCTCGCGAGGAGGCGCTCAGCCCCCGCCCCCTAGAAGCCTGCTGCCACGCCCCCTCACCTCTCACGCGCTCAGTCTGGGTCTCCTCTCTGCGCCTTCCACTTCTGCCGCTCCTCTCTTCCGCGACCATGCCAGGCCTGTTACTAGGAGACGAAGCGCCCAACTTCCAGGCCGAGACCACGCAGGGTCCCATCCGCTTCCACGAATTCCTGGGCAACTCGTGAGTCTCGTGGCAGCCTTTGGCTCATAGCTGGCCTGAAGGAAGGAGGCCCAGGCGGAGAGAGGGGCGGGGAGCCTCTGGGAAGCTTCTTAGAGTTGGAAGAGACCTCAAGGGAAAGCACAATCAAAGCACTCCCGACAGATGGCCACTCGGGGCTCTTCCACGCAGGGAAAGCACAATCAAAGCACTCCCGGCAGATGGCCATCCAGGGCTCTTCCACGCAGGGAAAGCACAATCAAAACACTCCCGGCAGATGGCCACTCAGGGCTCTTCCACGCAGGGAAAGTACAGTCAAAGAACTCCCGACAAATGGCCACTCAGGGCTCTTCCACGCAGAGAAAGCACAATCAAAACACTCCCAGCAGATGGCCATCCAGGGCTCTTCCACGCAGGGAAAGCACAATCAAAGAACTCCCGACAGATGGCCATCCAGGGCTCTTCCACGCAGGGAAAGCACAGTCAAAGAACTCCCGACAGATGGCCATCCAGGGCTCTTCCACGCAGGGAAAGCACAGTCAAAGAACTCCCGACAGATGGCCATCCAGGGCTCTTCCACGCAGGGAAAGCACAGTCAAAGCACTCCAGACAGATGGCCACCCAGGGCTCTTCCACGCAGGGAAAGCACAGTCAAAGAACTCCCGACAAATGGCCATCCAGGGCTCTTCCACGCAGGGAAAGCACAATCAAAGCACTCCAGACAGATGGCCACGCAGGGAAAGCACAATCAACTCCCGACAGATGGCCACCCAGGGCTCTTCTACTCAGGGAAAGCACAATCAAAGCACTCCCGACAGATGGCCATCCAGGGCTCTTCCACGCAGGGAAAGCACAGTCAAAGAACTCCCGACAGATGGCCATCCAGGGCTCTTTCACGCAGGGAAAGCACAATCAAAGCACTCCCGACAGATGGCCACCCAGGGCTCTTCCACGCAGGAAAAGCACAGTCAAAGAACTCCCGACAGATGGCCACCCAGGGCTCTTCCACGCAGGGAAAGCACAGTCAAAGAACTCCCGACAGATGGCCATCCAGGGCTCTTCCACGCAGTCATATAACCCAGAATAGCAAGGCAGAAAATCCCACAATATCTGCTTTGAACTGAGTTATCTAAGTCCACACTACCATATATTCCAGTTCAAAAGCAGATAATCTAGGATTTTATTCAGTTGTGTGGAAGGGGTCTAAGTAATACAATTGTTCCTGGGTTATAAATCTCATTTCTGGATCGGTTCTAACATAAAAACATAGGGAAAGTTTATTAGAGTGCCAAAACTTTGTTTGGCGGGACATCCTGCAGCACATTTTACTCTAGTTTTTCAGTAAATACCTGAGTCTCAACCAATACAACATAGGGTTGTTGTAGGTTTTTTCAGGCTCTATGGCCATGTTCTAGAGGCATTATCTCCTGACGTTTCGCCTGAATCTATGGCAAGCATCCTCAGAGGTAGTGTTTACTACCTCTGAGGATGCTTGCCATAGATGCAGGCGAAACATCAGGAGATAATGCCTCTAGAACATGGCCATATAGCCCGAAAAAACCTACAACAACCCAGTGATTCTGGCCATGAAAGCCTTCGACAATACAATACAACATACTTTGTGGCAGCCACAAAAACGAAGTATAACAACTACTTTCAAAGTAAAGACCACACAATTAAACAAAAAATAACACATTCAAACCTGGAACAGATTTTTTTTCAAATGTTGTTACATAATGTATTCTTTATTTTTTTCTGACACTGCCTTGAAAGGGCTTCTGTTGTGACAGGTGGGGGTTTAAGCAGTTGCAATAAGTGATCAGTGCAATAATTGATTTATGAAACTATGTACACGTGACAAGAAGTGGCTAGCACATATTTGTCCTTGTCTCATAATCTTAGGCTCTTAGAATCCAGGGTGTTGATATGTGTTGCTAATACTGATTCGCAGAGCCCTTCCACACAGCCTTATATTTCAGAATATCAAGGCAGAAAATCCCACAATATTTGAGTGTGGACTCAGATAATCCAGTTCAAAGCAGATATTGTGGGATTTTCTGCCTTGATATTCTGGGATATAGGGCTGTGTGGAAAGGCCCTCTGTGGAAAAGCCTCCCCAACCCAACTCCTGATCCTCTTTAAAACAAAACAAAACCAGCAAATTTAGAATATCATTTTAAAGTAATTTTTAGGGGGGAAAAAAGAGAAAAGAAAAATAAAAAAGGAGGGGGGAAATAATAGGGACTAGGAAAGTTTAATGGGTGGGAAAGAGGAGGAAGCTAACTATGGTTAAAGGGCTATGGAAGTTTCCCTACTAATGCAGATTGAAGTGGAAGGGCTTAGGTGTGGGAGGAAAGGTAAAAAAAAATGGGGTAAAAAGGAAAAAAAAGAGAAAATATCATTATTGATGCACTCTCTTTGTTGAACCTCATTTGTGTGTGTGGAAAAAGTGCATCTTAGGGCCCCTCCTGACAGGCCCTATATCCCAGGATCTGATCCCAAGTTTTGTTTATCCCAGATTATCTGGGACTCATATAATCCAGTTTAAAGCAGAAATCCTGGGATCAGATCCTGGGATATAGGGCCAGTCTGGAAGGGTCCTTAGAATTGTACAGTATATGGACCTGTTGTATATAACCTGGATTGATGGAAGGCATATGATAGATTATACTCAGTAGGGGCCAACAGTCTGGATCACTGCAAGCAGAAGGTTTGTAAACTATTGTGTCCTGTTTTGTCCAAACCAAGAAAATATGGTTATTAGCTTTGGAATAACTCAAGATCTTAAATTGTGCCTTGAAGCTGGCTTGAAATTGTGGCTTGATTGCTGTACAAAAGAACAAAACGTTAGAATTGTGAAATTTACTAATGATGGAATGTTGGTGCTGATGGTAAATATGTGTTGAATTTCTTCCAGGATAAAATATTCTAATTTGAATAAATACATTACTGATTGAGAATCCCTACTGAGGAGGTCTGAAATCAAAAATACTCCAAAATCATCCATCTGGATTGCTGAGATTTTGTACTCTGATTATCAGTGTGCACAAACGTTTCATACACAAAATTATTTAAAATATTGTGTATAAAAATACCTTCAGGTTATATGTATATATGAAACATACTTTATATGGGTCCCATCTCCAGGCTATTCCATCGTGTACATATATGCAAATACAGGTATTCAAAAAATTGAATAATCCCAAATACCTGTGGGTCCCAAGCATTTCAGAAAAGGGATACTCATCTGTATATGAAGTTCTATTCTTCTTGTGAGTCATTTGCAAGCAAATTAATTGCTAGCAGTATCTCAGGTTGAAAGATCACTTTCCCCATTTGAAATGGGTAATTCTGTATGATGCAATTGTGTTTTACAGCACAGGTTTTATATGCCCAGTAGTAAAGCCGTTAAAATACAGATTGTTCCATTGCACGGAAGAGTCACAGCTTTTTGAAAGATGGAGAAATACGAACTTATCCTCATTCTTTATTAATCTAAAATGGCAGCACTCAATAGCTCACTAAATATTTGCTCGCTGCATAGTTGAACAGCTACTACAACTCCATGCATTAACATATTTTTCTAAACAACCATCTAGCATTAGATGTTAATAAATAACTCAAGACATTGGACTTCAGCTAATATATTTCCCTTTTTCTTAGTATGGGGCTTTGGTGTTTTTTGTTTTGTTTTGTTTTGTTTTGTTTTTGCAATAGTGAAGCAGAACCTAGTCAAATATTATTGTATTGTATGTTTATTTTATCTCTGTTTTAGGCCCTTTGTGCCATATAAGCAGCCCCGAGTCCCTTCAGAGAGATAGAGGAGGGGTACAAGAATAAAATTGTTGTTGTTGTTAAAGTCTTAATAAGATATGGAATGAGTGGGATAAAGCTATACAATTTTCATTGAGTGAAAGCAGAAGGATTGAGACATTGGTCAGTATAGAAAATATTTCAGGAGGGAGGGATTACATTATTTAACATGATTTTTGTTCCTGGGTTATAAATGTCATTTCCTAATTGGTTCTGTTGTGAAAACATGGAAAAGATTTATTAAACGGCAAAAATGTTGCTTTTGCGGGCATCCTGCAGCACATTTTGATATAGTTTTTCAATGAAGATTTCATAGAGTTTCAACCAATTCAACATAGTTTCTGGCAGTCACAAAAACGAGGTTTCTGGAGCATAACAACTACTTTCAAAGTAAATATCGCACAATTAAACAGGAAATAACACTTTCAAACGAGGAACATTTTTTTTTGCATTTTATTACATAGTGTTATCAGTAATGAAAAGAATTAAGCTTGAACTATGTATTTCAAATGAGAATTTTATTATGAAGCTTACAAAAAAGTAAATCTGTTTAAAATACATTTTTCCAAGTGCAGAATAGTTATGTAGACTAAACATGGAGTAAATGCAAAACAGTTCTGTAAATTAAATAACTTGTAATATCTATACTCGTGCAAACTAAATCATCTAAATAAATGCATAACGTCCAAGCTCTTTTCACTGTAAAGATTTGTATTGTTAGTCTATGTTCGGTGATTTTCTCCAAACTTGTGGAGAGTCTGTTCACTCAAAATTCGTTCAAATATCAGCCCTGAGTCGCCTTCGGGCTGATATGGGTGGGATAGAAATAGCGTAAATAAATAAATAAATAAATATCTTATTTTTATAGTTACTTGCTGTAAGAATGTGAGGAAGAACAAGGGCACTGCTTTGGAAGTAAAGAAAGATCAACTGTTTAATCTGAAACTGATCCTTTAATCCGAAACTCTGTCTCAAGACATGTTGATGACCATCACCTGAGGGGTTGTGAGAGTGGTGTGTGTGAATGGTGGGAATGGCATCAGACAAAAAAGAAAGATGCCGAGAAGGGGGGGGGGGAGGAAGACAAGAATTCAGGGACATCCTTTGAATCTTTCTGTTCAGACACTGCATTAAATAGACTATTGTGAGTAGCTTGATTGGCTTGCCTGCTTTTGCTTGGAGACTGTTATCCTATGTTTACGTTACCCACATGGCAGAGGAGAAGCTTTTGATATGAATACCAAAAGTTACTCAAGCCATATTTTCAAAGTTAAATTGAAGTATTGAATGCCTGTATGATGTTAGGACATGTTTAGCTTGGAGAAAAGAAGACTGAGAGGAGACATGGTAGCCATGTGTGAAAGGATGAAGCTTGTATTCTGCTGCCCTAGAAGCTAGGACACAATGGTGCAATGGGTTAAAATTGCAAGAAAAGAGATTCTACCTAAACATTAGTAAGAACTTCCTGACCGTAAGAGCTGTTCAGTAATGGAACATTCAGCTTTGGATTCTAGTGGAGTCTCTTTCTCTGGAGGTTTTTAAGCAGAGGCTGGATGGCCATTTGTTGAGAGTGCTTTGATTGTGTTTTCCTGAATAGCCCTTGTGGTCTCTTCCAACTTTATGATTCTATTATCTTTTGGGACAAATGTGACCAACTCTAGGCCCGTGGCCGTATCCACTCCGCAATATCATTTGATGTGGCCGTTCTGACGATGAACATCATGACTAGAGCTGATGGGAGTTGTGATATAGTTTTGTCTTCTTAATGAAAATATGCTATGTAATGCTGGATTTCAGTGTTACCTGCTCATCGAGACATTGTTGTGTTGTTTTCTTTCAGATGGGGAATCCTTTTCTCTCATCCACGGGATTTTACACCAGTGTGCACAACAGAACTTGGACGAGCAGCAAAACTGGCACCGGAATTTGCAAAGCGTAACATTAAAATGATAGCGCTCTCTATTGACGATGTCAAAGACCACCTTTCTTGGAGCAAGGTATTGCAGTGAGAAACAGTTGCACCAGTGAAGTGATTTTAGTATGTAAAATGGACTTCTAGGCACTTCTGGATTATTATTATTATTATTTTCTTTTGGCAGCTGATGTGATCCCTAAAAAGGACTAGAGTGGTTCTCAACCTGGGGTCCCCAGATGTTTTTGGCCTTCAACTCCCAGAAATCTTAACAACTGGTAAACTGCCTGGGATTTTTGGGAGTTGTAGGCCAAAAACATCTGGGCACCCCAGGTTGAGAACCACTGGGAAGTTGCCATGGTTTGGCATGATAGAGATCAGTCTCAAATTTCTGTGCTTCTCTTTAATGCTCTCAGGTGGGAGAAGATTAAAAGTTTGTCAAAGCTGACATAGCAAGTCCCAAGCTGTTATATTGCCAAGCTGTATTGGTGCTCAACAAAAATTACCCATCCTTCAATCCTCTGGTTTCTACAGAGGGCATTGAGGAACGACAGGGTTTTTTCTAACTTGTTCAGTAACGGCCTTTGGACAGTTTCACAATTTCTTCATCCTGTGGAGATGTGTGCTTCTTTTTTTATCCTTTCAGCACTTTGTTTTATTTTTAATAGAGAAACAGAAATGCGAAGCTGAATCTTGGTTAGTTATTTTGTTTTCTGCTTAATAGAGACTACATCTACTTTTTATTCTGGATTCAATTTCATGTGTGCTTATACATTGTTTCAAGCAATGTATAAGCATGGGGCTATAAAAAAATAGGTCTAGCATTGCAGTCCTGTCTTGGGTTTTGACAACTAGAGCATGCCAGGGTAGCCACTGTTTAGCTTACTGCAACTGCTGGGACATGATTGGCCAGTTGTCCATTCTCTCGCCCCCCCCCCCTTTCCAAAATCATACAATCCCCATAAGTTCAAAATCTTAGGAGAACTAGGGCTTTGCAATAAAAAACCCCTGCAGGTTAATGAAATACCTCTGTAGGTTAAGCACAATTAAAAAAGGAAACGCCCATTTTCCATTTATTAGTTTTACCGGTTTTGACTAATTCTTAGTACCGACCTCCACAGGCAGTTATATTGCAAATCAATAATTTTATGTACTAAAAAAGTCAGTGTATTCTGCAAAGGAGAGGAGTAGTTCTCACAAGCAAACTAGCTCAGGCTACAGTTTACTGCAGTCTGATTCCAAAGAACAAAGGAAAGTTAGTGAACAGTATAGCAGTGCCTAATTCCTATAAATGCTTCGAATGAGCTTTCAGACTACATACTTTAGTGTTTTTGTTAAAGAGAGCGAATGGAGCAAAACAGATAGTTATGGTTTTGCAGCCAGATCTCCTCTTGTTTTGATTGTCTGAAGTAAAGTGAATCACACAATGGCCAGATCAAAGTGAAGCAATTCAAAGTGACACCTCCAACTTGCCTACAGTAAATCTCCTTGTGGAGAGAAAAAGAGAAAAAAGCATAATAACAACAACAACAACAACGTATGGATTGTCTATGTTGCAGTCCCAGGTGACAGCAGGATTGAAGAGAAACAACTGGAAAAGCTGACACGATATGAGGATTTAAAGATCGAACTGCAAAGACTCTGGCACAAGCCAGTAAAGGTGGTCCCAGTGGTGATCGGCACACTGGGTGCAGTGCCTAAAGACCTTGGCCTGCACTTAAACACAATCAGCGCTGACAAAATTATCATCTGCCAGCTGCAAAAGGCCACCCTTACTGGGATCTGCACGCATTATTCGCTGATACATCACACAGTCCTAGACACTTGGGAAGTGTCCGATGTGTGATCCAATACAAAAGCCAGCAGAGGGTCTGCTGTGGACTCATCTTGTTGTGTTTTAAATAATAATAATAATAATAATACACATCACAATCCCCAGACTCAGTGCTGAAATGCTTTTGGATTTACTGCACAGCTAAACATGCATTAAACACAGATTTAGAGTGCTTTCAACTGCCTAAAATGGAAGTGTCCTTTTTTAAAAGCACTGGTTATAAATGATTTGCAAACTGGTTCAGAATGAATATAGACAATGTTGTGCGATGATAAGCAATTCCATTCATGTTTGAGGAGGCTGCAGCTCATTTTACAAGCCTCATATGATAATGTCCTTAGTTTTGTTTTGGATTTTTGAGGGTCATTAAGATTCAGATTACAGCTACAGAGTCAGCAAGACAGAAGTGGTTTGAAGGTTGGACTGTGACTCTGAAGGCCAGGGTTCAAATCCTCCCCCCCCCTCCCCCACGGCTGATCTTGGGCAATCATACTCTTTTCCTACGAGGAAGCAAAAGCAACTCTCTTCTGAAGAAATCTTGCCTAGAAAACACAGTGAAAGGTCTGCAATAATTTGGAAGTGACTTGAAGGCACACAACAACGAAGATAATACACAATTATACCCATGTCATTATAAATCACTTATAATCTGAAAAATGGCCACTTTTATGGTTGGAGGCCTGTCCCTAATCTGTGAATGGCGAAAGTACATCTGGGAGCTATTTATAATAATCCTCTTTTCACACCTTGAAAGTAGCCTTTCAAGTTAGTCATTTTTACTAATATTGCAAGGAAGAGCAATTATCTCTGGAATGTTGAAGAACTAGTTTAGGAATGTTCTCACTTATTGTGTTATATACAGCTGCAGTTAGTGTTTGAAAGTTGGGGCAAAGAAAAAACTTCTATTAGGAAGACATGGCCTACTTCCAATATCCTCCGCCTTTCTGAATCCTGGAACATGAACTGCATATAAAGCAAATGCAGAATAAGATTATGTAAACTGACAATACCTTTTTTAGCATATTGGAACTACTCCACTTTTTTAGACCCTGCACAAGAATTACACTAATTGCACAAATAATCCTTGCAGTTGTTTTCATAGTTGCTTTCAAAACTGAAATAGATATTTTTGTTTGTCTAAGGTGAATTTTTATGTCTTCTGTAAAAGAAAAAAAAGCGAACATCTATGCCATGCCATTTTGGGGAAATCCCATCAACATCAGTACTATAGTACCATCTTTAAGCTAAAAAATCAAAGCCAGCAAATCCGAATTTGAGAACTTTAATTGGACCTGATACAGTTGTGCTGTTGCTGCTCTTATTTACAAGTTTCACAACTGAGTTCAAAATATTTTTCCAGAAAATAGACCTAAAGTAATTGCTTCTCTCAGAATACATTTTTACTGCCTATTTACTGGTTAAAGACAAGAGGAAGTTAAGTAAATAGAAATAAAATAATGTTTGATGTCTGAAAAAAGAAAGTAAATATTGACAGTCTGGTGCTTAGTAACAGTCCTTCAAAGAAATATTTTAAGTTCCAGTTTATGATTATTTTAATGTTTTCCTACTCATTGTTCTAAACATTGAGTCTTCTTTCTTTTGCAGCTGAATTTCCTATCTATTTCTGCCCCTTTCTGAGTAGAATACTGTAAGATTTTTGTGTAGTTGCATTCAATAGCTAGCCATGCTCAGTTTTTGCTGAACTGGAGATGAAATTTTTGACAGGAAGTTTATACTATCTACTTAGATAAATTTGGAAAAGACTTTCAATAAAGGGTCATAAAATTATAGTACTACTATTTTTTAAAAAACCCCTTCTGATGTATTTTCTGCAACCAGAGTTTATTTATTGTGTCATCAGCAACCATACCATTGTATTACAATTCTAACAGAGCAAAACAAACACACAGATTAAAAAGAAAAAGAAAAAAACACACACAGATTTTGCAAATTTGGTAGTTGGTTAAATGTCCTTTGACCAGTATCTGGCCACTTGGAGTGCCTCTGGTGTTGCCGCAAGGTGCCCTTGGTAACTTTCTGGAAAATATGTCTGCCTTGTTGTCTAAATCTCATAGAGTCCGAACCAATTCAAGATAGTTTGTGGCAGTCACAAACGAAGTTACTGGAGTATAACAACTTCTTTCAAAGTAAGAAATAACACTTTTAAACCAGGAACAGAAAAGGTATTCCAGGTTTTGTTTTTTTGTTTTTTGACAATGGGATTTTGTACACTTATATTAACCATTAAGAATTATAGTCTTCTGTTTAAGAAGCAAGTCCCTTCTACAGTATTAGCATTCAATAATGAACCAAACATGGTGTTTCAACACTTCCTCTTGAAAATGCAGTTACAAGCACAAGGAACTATATGAGTATTTGAACATTCTAACTGCCTTTTCCTTTTGAAATAATATGTATAGCATTTAATGTCTAGGAAGGTAATACTACTTGCCTTGCAGTTCAGTTGGCATACACCACTGGAGATCTTCAGTATATTGGAAGACTAAGATCTTGTAATAACATGTAAATATACCTTTGACAAATATTGGAGGGGGCATTTTCAGGGGGGGAAATTCTTGAACTTTTTAATGCATTCATTGAGGACATTGCATTTAGTTATAATAGGTTTAAATAAATAGATAGCTCAAAGAGGCCATTTTTCACAAGGAGCACTTTTTGCTTTTTCTCCAAGGAATCTTAATTCAACAATATAACACAGTGTTTTATTTTATCTGTATTTTATTTAATTTGAAATATCTTTCTTAAATATACTGAGATTTTATTGTTGAAACATCCATGGGAGTTTTTGAGTGGTGATACCGAACTATTTTATAAAATAATTAACACTGGGGTGTTGAGCCTGTTGCTGTGTGACTTGTCATTAAAATTACAGGTTTGTACCAAAACACTATTTTCCCATTCTATAGGATATCAATGCCTACAATGGTGATGAGGCCACAGAGAAGCTTCCTTTTCCAATAATTGCTGATTCAAAGCGAGAGCTTGCAGTCCAGCTAGGAATGCTGGACCCAGATGAGAAAGACAAAGATGGCATACCACTGACAGCTCGTGTTGTAAGTACTCTTGACATTATATTCTGCCTTTCTTCTTAGTTACATACCTAGAATTGGTATCACCCAGTGGGGTAACTCATGGTGTTATCCCCATGAACCTCCTTTGTCCCAGACCACACTACAATATTGTAGCTAAAATACCAAAAACATTAACAAAATCAAAAGTTGCCTCAATCATCAGTTCATAGTCAGAAGGTTATATGTGTGTCTCTGTTAACTATTGAGCTGGCTTCAGGTTTCCTCTATAGTAGGGTGCAGGACTGCCTTTAGACAACACTTAGCTCTTCATTCCTTGCTTGTGGAAATACGTGACTTGCTTTGTGGGTTTGCTGCAAAGAAAGAGGAAAATACTGCAATTTATCTAGATTTTGTGGATGGGGTATACCACAAATTTTAAAACAAGCTGTAGTTATCTGTAATTCAAAGTCTATGAAGAAGATTATACTGTGGGGAAATACTGATATCCCGTATATACATGAGTATAAGCTGACCCAAATATAAGCCAAGGCACCTAATTTTACCATAAAAAACTGGGGAAATGGATTGACTCGAATATAAGCCGAGGGTGGGAAATGCAGCATTTACGAGTCAATTTCAAAATAAAAATAGATACCAATAAAATTACATTAATTGAGGCATCAGTTGGTTAAATGTTTTTGAATATTTACATAAAACTGTAATTCAACATAAGACTGTCCAACTCTGATTCAACCATTATTCTAACCTTCTTCAATGTAAATATGCTTACGTATCCTTCCAATAATAATAAAGAGAGTAAAATAATAATAAATGTAATAATAATAATAGAATAAAATAATAAATGTAATAATAACAATAATAGAGTAAAATAATAAATGTAACAATAACAATAATAAATAGCGTAAAATAATAAATGTAATAACAACAATAATAAAGTAAAACAACAACAACAAAGTAAAATAATAAATAGCCTTGACTCGAGTATAAGCTGGGGGAGACTTTTTCAGCCTAAAAAAAGGACTGAAAAACTAGGCTTATACTTGAGTATATACAATATCTACCTTATTTCATTAATAACTACATTCCCTTTAGTTCGCAAGGCTAATAACAACAACAAAAACCACAACTTTATTCTTATACCTCACCACCATCTCCCCAAATGGATTCAGAGCAGCTTACATATGGGTCAAAATGCCCACAAGACATAAAAGCAAAACAATATATTAAAGCAAATGAGAAGTGGAAGAAATATGTGAAAAGCAGTACATACATTTGTGTGCATAAAAAAAAGTGGAGACGACTGTCCAAGAATAAATTCTAATGGGGGCAGGGGAGGGGAAATAAGGTATAATACATTAAGATGGAATAATTGTATTAGTTGATTTTGTTTCTTTAATACTCCTATAATATAATAATTACAGTTGTACTCTACTTATACAATCCTAGAGAGAGAGAGAGAGAGAGAGAGAGAGAGAGAGAGAGAAACAGTCAGACAGAGAGAATAACATAAATAATATATATAAAATAAAATAAATTCTGATTTGGTCTTCATTTGTATCTTGAGTAATCCATAAAAGAGTAATGATCTCATATAATATCTGTGTGGTCCAACTGAAATCAGTGATTGTGAGCACACACAATTTCTAAAGAACTATAGATGAATTTTCTTTGGGACAAGCAACTGCCATTTTTCATGGGTATTTAGAATCTGTTTGAATATCCAGTCAAGACAGCAAAAAAATCACAACACCCATTTCAGGAATCCAAGTGTAATATAGCAAGGATTGTGGCCTGAAAACTAAAGAAGCTAGGTGGAGCAATTTCTGTAAAAAATATTCCTTTTTACTGAAAGTTTTGCCCTACGTCCACTTGGAGAAAGCACCAAACTAAAAACTAAAAAGTAAGTTGTAGAATCACAGAATTGAAAGTATCTCCCAGAGTGCTAGCTTACCCCTCCGGGTTTTGTATCATCTGTAAATTTGATAAGCAGTCCGTCAGACACATTGATGAAAAAAATATCTAAATCATTAATAAAAATATTGAAAAACACCAGCTCCAGAACATAACCCTGCAGCATTCCATTTGAGGTCTTTCCAATTGGAAGCACATCCATTGATGACAGCTGTTTCGAGCACAAGATTCTAACTCAGGGGTCCTCAAACTTTTTAAACAGAGGGCCAGGTCACAGTCCCTCAAACTGTTGGAGGGCCAAATTATAATTTGAAAAAAGCATGAATGAATTCCTTTGCACACTGCACATATCTTATTTGTAGTGCAAAAAACACTTTAAAACAATACAATAATTAAAACGAATAACAATTTTAACAAATATAAACTTATTAGTATTTCAATGGGAAGTGTGGGCCTGCTTTTTGGCTGATGAGATAGAATTGTTGTTGTTGTTGTGCGCTTTCAAGTCGTTTCAGACTTAGGTTGACCCTGAGCGAGGGCCGGGTAAATGACCTTGGAGGGCCGTATCCGCCCCCCGGGCCTTAGTTTGAGGACCCCTGTTCTAACCAGTTGTTTGTCCATCTGAAGGTGTTTCTGTCTATTTCATATTTAATCAATTTGCTAATCAAAGCATCACGGGGTATCCTATCTGACATTTTGCTGATATCCAGATAAATGCAATTTGAATTATTATTGGGGGGACGAACATGATAGATTGGTGTTAAAGAATAGCTTGTGTATCACAATTTTTGTATTCTTATTTTGGCACTTTCTTTTATAGGTGTTTGTTTTTGGTCCAGACAAGAAACTCAAACTCTCAATCCTCTACCCAGCAACAACTGGCAGAAACTTTGATGAAATTCTAAGAGTAGTTGACTCTCTCCAGCTAACTGCCACTAAGAAGGTTGCTACTCCTGTTGACTGGAAGGTAGCTCTCTATACTGTGTTAGGTTTACTTAACTTTGTAATTTGTTCATGCACATTAGTAGATGCTCCCATAGACAGAATAAATGCTTCCTAAATATTGCAAGACAGTAAGATAAACTGGCATTCTTGTGACTTTTAGATAGTTAACCAAACCACTATTCTGCAAATAGTAGGAATAGAACATAGTGTTGGAAAGAACCACAGTAAAGTTCAGTTCTTGAGACAACCAGTTAGATTCATGAATCACTGGCCCCTTCTACACTGCCATATAAAATGCAGATTATCTGTTTTAACTGGATTATATGGCAGTGTAGACTCATATAATCCAGTTCAACCAATTCTACACTGCCTATATATAAAATATGCAGTTTATTATCTGTTTTTTCAAGCTGGAGATCTATTTATTCTATTTCTATCACACCCTATCAAAGTGGAGCCCCCAGTGGCGCAGTGGGTTAAACCCCTGTGCCGGCAGGATTGAAGACCGACAGGTCGCAGGTTCAAATCCGGGGAGAGGCAGATGAGCTCCCTCTATCAGCTCCAGCTCCTCATGCGGGGAAATGAGAGAAGCCTCCCACAAGGATGATAAAACATCAAAAATCATCGGGCGTCCCCTGGGCAACGTCTTTGCAATTCTCTCACACCAGAAGCAACTTGCAGTTTCTCAAGTCGCTCCTGACACGACAAAAAAAAACCCTGATTTGATAATCTGGATTATATAGCAGTGTAGGCGAGGCCACTCTGTTCCTTAAGCAGAATATCACATCACCAGTACATATCCTTTCTTTCACAACGCTCTCCATTATCTAAGGCTGTTGTATCATTATATGGATACTATCAGTGTTGATTTAAATAAATGGCTGAAGGAGGGTTATTAATCCTCACGGTTTCTGAGAAATTATAAAACATGCAGATATGCCTTTAAAAGCTCCACAATTAAACAACACTGCATCTAGCAGCCTATCCTGCCTCTGCGATCCTCTTGTAGTTCTATTGTCACCGTGATTATCTTTGTAGAAAATCATTATTCTTTTATATCCTAAAATATCCACTTCCTGATGTAAAATAACAACTTTCAAAATATGTGTCAAAATATTCAGGACAAGCAGTTCACCTGTTGTAATCCAGAGCAGGGAACGATGCCCTAAGATAACTATCCACCACACTTGGCTGTGAAAAACAATCCTTTTTTAGAAAAATGGTTACAAAATAAAGGAAAAATGCAAGTCAAAGCCACAGCAAAATCAGCAAACATGAATTTAAATGGACAAAGCAAAACCAAAAGCCTCACTGGGAAATACTGGAATCTGTTAGCAATCCACTAACCGTACTTGATATCCTAGAAATCTTCCCAAACTATGGCCAGGGAACCGGGAGAACTGCCAAGGTCTTCATCAATTCTGAAACGATGCCTGAACTGAGACAATCAGCTCGGCGTATTGCAATTAAAACTCAAGAATTGGTTCCGTGAACCGCCCTTCTATTTTGAAGCCAATGTTTTTAATTCTTGAATTCGGGAGGATCGACGCAAACTGAGTGATTTACTTCTGTCTTCCCAAATTTGGCCCCTTCTGTTGTCATTAAAGTTAACAGGTGCAGAAGGGAGGGAAAGTTCAAGGTCTCCCTCTGAAACATTCTCATGAACACTGGTACTTTCATTTTCCAAATCTACAGAAGTTCCTTCCTCACTAATTTCAGGAACATTGGCATTTTCCAAACCTACAGCAGTTTCTTCCTCACTAATTTCAGGAGCATTGGCATCAAAAGGTACATTTCCACTAGCATCAGTAAATATATTTTCATTAGCATCAGGAGGAACAAACAGAGAATCAGGTTCAAGTTCAAACACAGGCTGAACCCCAACAATAGCAGACATGTGGAAGTTCATATTGGAAGTCCTGACTTTATATTGGAAGTCCTAGTCTGACAAAATTAAAACAGCAAAACAGCAGAGGGAAAACAATCAGGGACATCTAATCACCTCTCAACAAAAGATTGCTCCAGGCACTTCCAGGCTATCAAATGCTAATCAAGGTGGTCAGTTGAAACATTCACACCTAGCTCCAGCAGACAAGAGTCCTTTGCCCCACCCTGGTCTTTCCACAGATATATAAATCCATTTTCCTACTTCCAACAGACCTCACTACCTCTGAGGATGCTTGCCATAGATGCAGGCGAAACGTCAGGAGAGAATGCCTCTAGAGCATGGCCATAAAAAACCGACAGCAACCCAGATAAATTGTGTCTTATCATTCGTTGCCTCTTCAGGATAGTACAAGCTCTTTGTTCTGAACTTCTTCTTTTTAGTCTTCTCCTGGGGCATGAAGGTATTTAAATAGCATTTTCTTTGCTACTAATCATGCCTTGATTCCAGGTCATGGGGGGGGGGGGGATTTCTATGTGTGCTTTCATGTTTATAGACTATATGGAGTGGTGGGGTGGGGGTGGCTTGAAATGTATGGTTCAATTTCCAAGCCCAAGCATGAGATTTACTGAAGTAGTGACTCATCATTTAATAGTGTCATTCAGTAAGATTGTTTTAGTTTGGACAACGAATAAGGATGCATGCATCTCTTTGCAGAAACTTCCACCTATATCAGCCATGGGTAACTGCTGAAGGATGGGGGATCATATTAAACCCTAGAAAGTTGTTATCTTACATTAGGGATAAAAGCCACTTCCTGTTTCAAAAGGCCTCTCTTAGGCTTAAAATTATAGAAATACTCCCCAGACCTGAGTCTGGGGAAAGAACAAAAACGATCCCCTTGTTCCACAGAACAGCTCAAATGGTTCTAAGAGTTGCATGCAATTTTTGAGTTTTACTTTGTCCACTCCCGATTTACATTATGATTAATAAACAATAAACTTTACACTGTTCCTAGATAGATAAGAAATTGAGATTCAGTGTGCCTGAAGCTATCCTAGTAACATGCTTCCTAACTTTGATTCCCTGCTTCCCCCCCCCCCCCCCTTTTCAGCCTGGGAATGAAGTCATGGTAATTCCCTCTCTACCAGACGAAGAGGCCAAAAAGTTGTTTCCAGGAGGATTTTGTGCCAAAAAACTACCATCTGGCAAGAATTACCTTCGTTACACTCCTCATCCTCAGTAATAACTATGAAGAAAAAGCAAGCGAGCCAGAAAGATGATCACGGGGACTTCATAGAAGAGATTGCTTTAATTGTCTTGTGTGGAGGGTTGGAATAACTATTGCGAAGAACAGACCAGTTTGTTTTCTTTAGATGCTCTTTTAAGTTACAATGATTGTTTTTGGTCTTGTTCATAATCTCAACGAATGTAGACCTGTTCTGTTCAGATGTGTGATCACCTATCTTGAATATTTCAGGAGCCAAGTCCGTAGCACTGCACCAATATAGAATTAATCTGTTTTAAATTAATCAACTAGAAACCACATACGTAAATACAATCAAAAATTTAAACAAGGGGCAATAAAGAGGAGATAATTTCTTATGCTGCTGTGTGTAAAAAAATCTCACATATTTCTTCAGATAACTGCACATTTGTTGTAATGGCTGTCATGATCACGTGAAGCCAGATTTTGTGGATCTTATCCATAAGTATGAATAGCTAGTTTCCACAGCTGAAGTTTGTTCCAGAGGTGATGTGCCTTTATTTCAAATTATTCTATTATTCTAACCAAATGCCTGATTCAAATATGCTCCTGTTGAATTATGGAAGTGGGACAGATAGCATTTGCAAATTTCTGCTTAGTTTCTTATACATAAAAATAAAATTATTCACTAAAAATGCAGTGTTGCCTGTTCTTTACTCATTCCTAAATATGTACCACCATGCATTTTAAAAATGCAGCCATGTACAGTACAAGGACTCTCTCTTAAGCAGCAATATAAGTGATACCTTACAAATAACATTAGCTCAGTCCCTGCATAAAAACAACAATATTAGGGTGGGGAAAAATCTGATTGTTAAAGCTTACATAGATAATGGAAAAATGCATCAGAATCTACCTTGTTCTGATAGCAACCATTTATGTAAGATCGGGGTCGTTAGAATTACTACTCTCATTTTACTTTCACGTTGGTCAGCCTGGATAAGTAAAATGCTTGCATTTCAGTTTAGGATCATAAAACTGTCAATCCATGATATAATATCATGGCATTAAAAACTTAAAACCCGATACAGGTGAGTCTGTATTGGATAACGTGTCTCCTTTGAATGAATACCTGGAGGAGGTAATGGGCTGGATAAGGAAAAACAAATTGATACTAAATCCAGACAAAATGTGCTTGCCGTCAAGGATTCTAATCTGGGGATGGAGGAGTGTCATCCAGTTCTGGATGGGGTTACACTCTCCATGGAAGACTGTTTACAGCTTGAGAGTGCTCCTGGATCCAACTTTCCAAATGTCAGCCCAGGTAGATGCGATGGTTAGGAGTGTTTACTATCAGTTTCAGCTGATCCACCAGCTGCGCCCCTTCCTAGATTTGGAGGACCTGAAGATGGTAGTGCATTAGCTGGTAACCTCAAGATTGGACTTCTGCAATGTGCTTTACATTGGGCTACCTTTGTACCAAGTTAGGAAACCAGTTGGTTCAAAACACAGCAGCCAGATTGGGTACAGGAACATCCAGGAGTGAACATATCATACCTATCCTAAAGTCACTTCCACTAGCTGCCAGTTAGTTTCCGGACAAAGTTCAAGGTGTTTGTTTTGACCTTAAAAGCCTTGTATGGTTTGGGTCCAGATTACTTGGAAGAGCTTTGTTGGGCTCTGCTGCAAGAGGGACACTGGGGCCTGAGTATTGCCACCCAGCTTTGCTGCCTGCTCAGCCCTGGGCTTACCCATGAGGAGACCTGCAGTCACACCCTCATTTCAGCCAGCTGACCCAGCAGGGAGAGAACATGGCCCCCGCAACCTCGCCGTGCTGCTACTTTAATGGCTGCGCCACCCATTGCCCAGCTGCCAGAATACCTGTGCCAGGTGCCTCCAAAGCCACGCTGCCCATCATTTGGACATTGGAACACCTGTGCGGGCGCTCGTTTTCGGGGTTCCCCTGACTCCTGTTGCTTCAGACCACTTTTTCCATCAGCCCACTTTGGTTGGGATTCAATGTTTACTTTTAAGCTCTTTTTTGTATTTATATTGGAATTATTGTATGTTTACTTTTAAGCTTTTTAATTGTATTTCTATTTGAATTACTTCTAAGCTTGTTATTGTATTTATATTCGAATTATTATCTCATGTTTATTATTGTATGTTTAAATTGATATGTTAATTGTTTGAATTCATATGTTATGTTTATTGTTGTGTGTGTAGTGCGGCATTGGATGCCATGGATTGTAAGCCACCCTGAGCCCCCCACTGGGGTGAGAAGGATGGGGTATAAATGTAGTATAATAATTATAATTATAATAATACCTACAGAATTGCTTTCTCCTGTAGAATCTGGCTTGAACACTGAGGTCCTCTGGGGAGCATCTGCTCCAGCCTGCCAGAACCCGACTGGCAACCATCACCCAGAGGACCTATTCATCAGCTGCCCCAAGGCTGTGGAATGACCTGCCAGTAAAGCTGTCAGAATTTAAGACACAAATGAAGACCTGTCTCTTCCAGCAGACCTACCCACACAAATTTTAAACTTAAATTTAATGTCTAATTTTTGTTTGTGTATTTTAGTGTGTATTATATGTAATTATGCTTTAATATGTGTATTTTACAGAGTGTTTTAAATGATTATGTGTTTTAACAATGTCGTAAGTCATCTCGAGCCATAAGGAGAGGCTGGTAAGAAATAAAATTATTATTCTCTTATAATTCTATAAAATATGGAAAGAAATAAAAGCAACACCGGGATAGTATATTACTGGTCACCAATCTCAAAAGGGGTTATGTTTTTCTGAAACAATCTTATTCATCTCTAAGAAGCAAAAATTAGTAGTTATGGGAGATTCTGTTAGCCTGATAGCTGTTACCAGATTCTAATTTGTAGACATGGCTATGACAGGTAAGACTACTTTCAGATAAGATTTACTCTGGAATCTCTTATGAAGTAGAGGAGAAGTAATACCAATGTACACAATAAATTGAACTTTTAAAATGCTTACATGTCTATAGATATGACACCTTTGGCTTCCAGGGTGTTCAGTTTTGGGGGATTCTATAAGACATATCTGTAGAAACTTTTGCTTTAAATTGAAATCATTGGAAAACATTTAAGACAATAGTTTCCTTCCAACAGGAAACCTCTAGTACTTACGGGGTCCAGCCAACTTTGTGAAAACAGGAAGCATGATGTCCTCCAGTTGCTGTTTCTGATCCAAGAAATCTTGCATGGTAGGCTCCTTAGCATTTTCAATCCAATCATTCTTGGCCTGGCAAGCCTTGAGAGATGTACTCTACATTAAAAAAATGACACAATGAATATATCAGAAAATGCAAGGTACTTTTTCATTCAATAAATTATAATCCAGTGTGTATTTTAACTTTTTTTTTAAATGTACTCTGTCTTTGTATGAACTATATTCCACAGAACAGCTGAAATGGTATAAACTATCATAAAATAGTCATAATGCCATGAGTATTCCCAAAGTAATTGGCCCCATCTAGGCTTGGCCAAATCCTAACAGATATATGCTACATCTTTTGCTCAGAGGAAAAAATACAAATGCAGTGTTTCTTCGCATATCATCAGTAGCATGTTAGTTAATGCTGGCTCCTCACAACATTTGAAATATATTTGAAAATGAAATAGTGGTACTCACTGTGAATATTAATTCTTGGGCATGAAGAAGAACTTTTCACAATGCATAGTTATAGCTTCATATGCCACCTTCAAGGCGACAGTCATATGTTTTTAATATTTCCACTCTTCTATCAGAGGCAAGTAAGAAAACTTAAGATCAGATGGCAAAAACAAACTGCTGAAAAGGTGAAGAATGTATAATACCAGCAATGCAGTCTAACTGCAACCAGATTTTGGGTGGAGTTGGATGCCCAAGAATGAACATGCATGATGAGTTCCAATACCTCATTCTCCCTGGAGTGTGCAGGAGAGCAATCCACAACATCTTGGAATGCAGGCAGTCCCCAAGTTACAATTAAGATAGGTTCTGTAGGTTTGTTCTTAAGTTGAATTTGTTTGTAAGACAAATCAGATTTTAAATGTAACTCCAGCCATATATATCGTTTACCCTTGACATTAAGTCTAGTCAAGTCCAACTCTTGTTGGGTGTGTGTGTGTGTTCATTTCAATTTCTAAGCCAAAGAGCTGGCATTGCCAGTAGATGCCTCCTAGGTCATGTGGCCAGAATGACTGCATGGAGCGCTGAAGTGGTACCTATTGATCTACTCACATTTGCATGTTTTCGAGATGCTAGGATGGCAGAAGCTGGGGTTAGCATTGGGAGCTCACTCCATCCCACAGATTTGAACAACTGACCTTCTGGTCAGCAAGTTCTGCAGTGTAGCAATTTAACCCACTGCGCCACTGCAGCTCCATACACACATACGTGCTTTGGATAGCATAAGGAAGGGTTAACACACCTGTTGTGTTTGTTTCACTGCCTGTGCCCCAGCTCAGAAGATTTCACCAGACTTTGTGATATTTGGATTTTGAGAAATTTGGCTTGTTGTGGAAACAAGGACTGCTGATAAAGCTTCAATGGAGACACCTTTCCCCCATGATAAGTCTTTTAGGAGTGAATTTCCCTTCCGATGGGTAGATTTCTCTGATTTCCTGTTATTACACCCCCATTCTTTACTATGAGTCTTTTGTAAGTCAGATGTTTGTAACTCAAGAACTGCCTGTATATCTCTAAGCCTTTAATTTTTTGTGTGTCTGCTTTAAAATACATTCTGCTGAACTCTCTCTCCAAACACACTCATGCAGATTGAAATGTACCTATATTATAGTGCCTTACAATAGTTGAAGGTTCTTTCTATCTAATGCTCACACAAAGATCCTCCCAATATATGCAGATATCAAATGCTTGAGTTGTAGCTCAAGATTTCAATTGAGGGAGCCAACATACCTACAATCCCTGGTTTTGTGCTACATTCACAGAAATTTTCATGTTCTTATCCATTTAACTAATATTTGTAAAGATGCCTTTTCCCTAAGGTTGTAAAAAACAGTACATCTGTGCATTTTAAAAAGATTTTTAAATATTGTCATGAATACCTTATCTTCCTTATTAAGTCTTCCCAGAACTTTCTCAGGATCTGTGACTGTTGATTGGATTTGAGCAATCAAGTTTCGTAAATTCTGCTTGGCTTCTAAAAAGGAGAGAAAGGTTTAAAGAGCCAGAAAACTGCAAACAATAGTTAAAATGCCAACACTATTAAAGTCAAACCTGAACCGCAGGCCAGGTTGAACAGCTCCAGAAGCTTCAAGGATAGGCAAAAATGATCAGATTTTCCTGCTCTCTTAATATGGGCATTTCAGGCACCGGGATTGTGGCGCAGCTGGCTGAGTGTCATCTGCATTAAGATCACTCTGACCAAAAGGTCATGAGTTCGAAGCCAGCCCGGGTTGGAGTGGGTTTCCAACCAAATGTGTGTAGCCTGTTGTCGACCTTTGCAACCCGAAAGACAGTTGCATCTGTCAAGTAGGAAAATAAGGTACCACCTTAAAGTGTGGGGAGGCTAAATTAACTGATTTATGAGGCCATAAAGAAGACTCCAGCAAAGCATTCCAGCAGGGAAGCATGCGGGAATGCGGAAGTGCTTTATCAGCGTCACAGATGGACGATGAAAGCGACAGCTCCCCTGGCGGCCAGAAAAAGTTAAATAGCCTCTGTGTATGTCTGTATATGTTTGTATGTCAAAAATTGGCATTGAATGTTTGCCATATATGTGTACACTGTAATCCGCCCTAAGTCCCTTGCGGGGTGAGAAGGGCGGAATATAAAAGCTGTAAATAAATAATAATAAATAAAAAGCAGCTATCAACCTTGCACTGGCCACTATTTGGGCTACCCAATCATAAAGCAAGAAGGAAAGCAGAAGCCTGAACTTTATTTGCATAACTCAGCAATGAAAAATCCATATGGCTTTCTTTTGCTTCCCATTTTACAGATTCTTCATGCATTTCATTATGTCATTTAGAAAAAACCTATCATAACCTTCCTTTCTATGAGTAGAAAACCAGGAGGTCCATGGATGTGGTTCAGGAAGTCCATGGGCCAGAAATATGACACATTTCATATTTCCTTTTTGTGACTCTGACTTTTTCTGTCGTAGTGGATTTTAACATTTAAAAATGTCTTTTCAGGTTTCTAGTGCAAAAAATGTATAGCTACAATGCTGTGTGCGTAAATATGTTTACATGTGCCTTTTTCAGGAAGGAGCTATGGAAATCCATGACCCATGAAAAGTGAAAAATTGTTATAAATCTTGTGGCATAAGGCTTGTGGACTGTGATGTCATCTATATAAATAAAAATGTAATGTTCGTTTGTGGGATTAACAGAACTCAAAAACCACTGGACAAATTGACACCAAATTTGGCCACAAGACACCTACTAACCCAAAAAGTGACCATTACTCAAAAAAATTTAGTTTTGTCATTTGGGAGTTGTAGTTGCTGGGATTTATTGTTAACCAACAATCAAAGAGCATTCTGAACCCCACCAATGATGGAATTGAACTAAACGTGGCACACAGGACTCCCATGACCAACAGAAAATACTAGAAGGGTTTGGTGGGCATTGGCCTTGAGTTTGGGAGTTATAGTACACCTACATCCAGAGAGCACTGTGGACTCAAACAATGATGGATCTTGACCAAACTTGACACAAATATTCCATATACCCAACTAGGAACACAGATGGAGCTTGAGGGAAATAGAACTTGATATTTGGGAGTTGTAGTTACCGGGATTCATAGTTCACCTAAAATCAAAGAACATTCTGAACCTCATGAATGTTAGAATTGGGGCAAACTTCCCACACAGAACCCCTATACCCAATAGAAAATGCTGAAGGCCATCCAGTCCAACTCCCTTCACTAGGGCAAGGAAATGTAATCAAATACTGTTTACCCACAAGCATAAAGAAATTACAGGTTTATATTGGAAAGTGTTTATAAAGTTAGTATTTTACTGATGTCATGGCCTATGGCTAGTACAATAAACAATTCATTCATACATATATTATAAACCAACACTTTCTCATTACTTTATTTGCCAGATCACCAGACTGGGCCACAGCAATGCGTGGCAGGAGATGGCTAGTAAAATTAAAAAATCTGAAAGCAGTTGATTTTCAAAACAGCATGATAATGATTTTCTGCCTTTTTCCTTGTTTGAGAAAACACTGATCTTACCTGCCCAGTCCAAGAATTCAACACACTCCATCTTCTCATAACGATAAGCAATATCTCTGGCCTTTTCACCACGGAAAGTAGTTGCATAAATATCTGCTTCCAGATCTATAAGAGTTTTCAAAGTTTCTAGTTGACCCCAGGCTGCAGCACAGTGGAGAAGTGTATAACCTGAAAAGGGAGGTGCAGGGATTGTATATATAATTGTTAACGTAATCCCTATGTATACTATTCTGTTTCATAATGTATTATTTCAAACAAAAATATGTTTTTCTCATTCATTAACAAAGTCACCCTAATTAAAGGAATATTGACTCAAAGAATGAACTGACATATAAAAGCTTTTGTCAAAAGTTCTGAATTTTTAACAGCTTTGCTTTCAAAACCAAACCTCTCACAATACATTTTTAAAAGGATTTAATAGCATTCATCAGTTATATACCTCTGACTGTCTTTTCTTTCAGATCAACCCCATATCTTGCCACTGTTCGGATAATATCATTCTTCCCAGCCATACAAATTGCATACAAAAGGCCTCTCCCTACAATATCCTTTTCTGTTATCAACTCAGTAGCCTTTTCATGATCAGGATCTTCTGGGTCCTCAAAAATATGTTGTACTTCCTCTGTATCATTATTTAAGGCAGCTCTAAGGAGAGGGTTGAAGTATGCTGGTTCTTCTTCAGATTCCAAATTCTTGAGCTCACTTTGCTTTGATGGGTCTACTGTCTCTTCCACTGATTCCATTTTGTCACAATTAAACTGAAAAAAATAAAAGAAAATGAGACCCATTTAAGAAGTATAGAATAACCAATGTTTTAGTCTCTGAGGATATGGTATGCACATTTAATATGGTACAAAATATGGTATGGACCTGTAAAGGAATGTCATTATGTTTTCTGTATAATGTAGCTGTGATTACACACATCATAATCTAAAGTTTGTTTGAACTACTTTAATATACTTTGCATGGGCTGCCTTTCAGAAACATTTGGAAATTTCAGCCAGGCACAAATACTGAGACCATGGAGTTCAACATTTGCAGCCACTATGATATGTCAGCTCCAGCTCCCCATGTGGAGACATCAGAGAAGCCTCCAACAAGGATGGTAAAACATCAAAACATCCAGGCTTCCCCTGGGCAACATCCTTGTGATGGGGAGATCCTGGAAAAATATATATTTATGCATTGTATGTACTTTACAAGCACTGAAATGTATAGAAAAATCAGGTTCCCTCTCTCTGTATTAGAAAGAATGCTGAAGGAGATGAACATTCAAGGAAGGGGGGAGATAAGCCCATCATAGTACCAACAGAGATTAAGTAAAAAGTAAGGAGCCTATCCCCCCTCCCTCCTGACAGGTCAAAGTAGGCCCCTTGATTGATGAATGTAAGCTGTATGCTGCTCTTTAGAAAGAAATACAGAGACATGCCTTTTGCATGTTGGAAGATAGAATTTGATATTTCTATGATGCTAAAGTGACGCAGAGAATGATGCCAATGTATGTAGAAGCATGTTTATTTGTTTGCCTGCATATGAAGTGTATAAAAGGGAAAGTCAACGCCTTTATTGGGCACTCTGGTTGCTTTTGGACACAGCTCCACTCCAGGGTCCCAGTTGGAAATAAAGCCGTACTTTTCTTTCTTCAGAAAGGATCTCTCTTGATATTATCTCTCCTATCATGCTGCAACACTTGCAGACGGCCAATTCTCTCACACCAGAAGCGACTTGCAGTTTCTCAAGTCGCTCCTGACACGACAAAAAAACAAACAGCCTGGTTGTGGCACAATGTAGATGTTCTGCAACTTTAGAGAAGGCGGCTGCCCAATTTTCTGGTAATATCCAACTAAGGAAAACAATTCTACATCCAAACTTCAATTCTAATGGTAGAGTTCTGTATTATAGCAGTATCATAATAACCTGCCATCCATAAAACAGGGCACATGTGAAGTATGCTATGGTTTTCAATTCAGATGTTACTGTTCTATTGAAAAAAGATCTTGGAGTCCTTGTGGACAAGTTAAACATGAACCAACAATGTGATGTGGCACCAAAAAATGCCAATGGGTTTTTGGCCTGCATCAATAGGAGTATAGTGTCTAGATCCAGGGAAGTCATGCTACCCCTCTATCCTGCCTTGGTTAGACAACATCTGGAATATTGTGTCTAATTCTGGGCACTGCAATTGAAGAGAGATATTGACAAGCTGGAATGTGTCCAGAGGAGGGCGACTAAAATGATCAAGGCGGTCTCGGTCGGGATTGGCTTGACACGCCTTCCTCTTGGCACGTTCCTCCATTCATGCCTCTTCAAATTCTGCAGCACTGCTGGTCACAGCTGACCTCCAGCTGGAGCGCACAAGGGCCAGGGCTTCCCAGTTCTCAGTGTCTATGCCAGAGTTTTTAAGGTTGGCTTTGAGCCCATCTTTAAATCTCTTTTCCTGCCCACCAACATTTCGTTTTCTGTTCTTAAGTTCAGAGTAGAGCAACTGCTTTGGGAGACGGTGGTCACGCATCCGGACAACATGGCCAGTCCAGCGGAGTTGATGGCGGAGGACCATCGCTTCAGTGCTGGTGGTCTTTGCTCCTTCCAGCATGCTGACATTTGTCCTCCTGTCTTCCCAAGAGATTGCAGGATTTTCCGGAGGCAGCGCTGATGGAATCTTCCAGGAGTTGCATGTGACGTCTGTAGACAGTCCACGTTCACAGGCATATAGCAGGGTTGGGAGGACAATAGCTTTATAAACAAGCACCTTGGTATTCCTACGGCTGTCCCGTTCCTCAAACACTCTCTGCTTCATTTGGGAAAATGCTGCACTTGCAGAGCTCAGGCGATGTTGTATTTCGGTGTTGATGTTGACTTTGGTGGAGAGGTGGCTGCCAAGGTAGCGGAAATGGTCAACATTTTCTAATGCCCTGGAGATTAGGATGCGGAACAATGGCTTCAAACTACAAGAAAGGAGATTCCATCTGAACATTAGGAAGAACTTCCTGACTGTGAGAGCTGTTCAGCAGTGGAACTCTCTGCCCCGGAGTGTGGTGGAGGCTCCTTCTTTGGAAGCTTTTAAACAGAGGCTGGATGGCCATCTGTCGAGGTGCTTTGAATGCAATTTTCCTGCTTCTTGGCAGGGGTTGGACTGGATGGCCCATGAGGTCTCTTCCAACTAAATGATTCTATGAATCTATTGTTGAGCAGCTCCTACAGCTAGGAAATTTTTTCTAATGTTCAGATGGAATCTCCTTTCCTGTCACTTGAACCCATTGCTCCTAGCTCTAGTTTCAAGGGCAGCAGAAGACAAGCCTGCTCTCTCTTCCATAAGACATCCTCTCACATATTTATGTATGGCTCTCATGTCTCCTCTCAACCTTAAATAGCATTAGGAGCCCACGTACACGTTGTCTGCCTGAATATGGGAAAGCCTTCCTCTTACTCTCCTCAGCCCTGTCAAAACGGCGTCGTTTCCGCCCTGCGCCTGACTTCCTCAGCCTACCAGAGCGAAGATGCTGTCTCCATGGCGACGGAGCCCGGAACGCCCACTTCCTCGGCGCGTGGGGTTTCCTGCGCGGCACTTCCGGTTGGTGGCGAACACGGGAGAGGAGAGGGGCGGGGCGCTGGCCAGGAGCCGTTTCCGGAGGGAGCTGCGAGAGCCTCTTGCGGGAGGAGAAGCCGAGGAAGGAACCCCGTCGGACGGTGCAGAAGGAGGCTCAGACCCCGCCTGGGAAGGAGGTTGGTCGGCCAGCCAGGGCTTCAGGGCCCGCTGCTGCATGTATGCAGAGGTTGGGCCTTCTGTCCTCTTTGAACCCTAGCCTAAAGTTGAGGGGGCGGGGGGATGCTGCGAGGGAGTGTTGGTGAGGAAGCAAAGATGAGTGATGTCACTCTATTAGGCCAAATATGTTCCAGATAGGCCTGGGTCTCTCCATGTTTTTTCTTCCTGCCCTGGCTGCTGCTCTACCTTCTTTGCCCTGGGGATTGGCCCAGAAATCATAGAATCATAGAGTTGGAAGAGACCTCATCCAGTCCAACCCCCTGCTAAGAAGCAGGAATATTGCATTCAAAGTACCCTGACAGATGGCCATCCAGCCTCTGTTTAAAAAGCTTCCAAAGAAAGAGCCTCCACCACACTCCGGGGCAGAGAGTATATTTAGTTAGGAGGTTCACATAAAGTTTTGGGGGTCTCTTCTCCTCCTCTGCAGCCTATTGCGATCACCAAAAATCCTCTTCGGAGAGGTGATTCTACTGAGTAATTTGGGATACGATACTAGATGGGGGAGCGTTTGAGAGGAGGATTAGACAGAAGATATGTCATGAAGTTCTTTAACCACAATTACCGTATATTGGAATTCGGGACTCTTCTGCATGATGTCCTGATTTTCTAGTCCATGCCTTAGAATCATAGAACCATAGAGTTGGAAGACACCTCATGGGCCATCCAGTCCAACCCCCTGCCAAGAAGCAGGAATATTGCATTCAAAGCACCCCCGACAGATGGCCATCCAGCCTCTGTTTAAAAAGCTTCCAAAGAAGGAGCCTCCACCACACTCCGGGGCAGAGAGTATATTTAGTTAGGAGGTTCACATAAAGTTTTGGGGGTCTCTTCTCCTCCTCTGCAGCCTATTGCGATCACCAAAAATCCTCTTCGGAGAGGTGATTCTACTGAGTAATTTGGGATACGATACTAGATGGGGGAGCGTTTGAGAGGAGGATTAGACAGAAGATATGTCATGAAGTTCTTTAACCACAATTACGGAGCGTTTGAGAGGAGGATTAGACAGAAGATATGTCATGAAGTTCTTTAACCACAATTACCGTATATTGGAATTCGGGACTCTTCTGCATGATGTCCTGATTTTCTAGTCCATGCCTTAGAATCATAGAACCATAGAGTTGGAAGACACCTCATGGGCCATCCAGTCCAACCCCCTGCCAAGAAGCAGGAATATTGCATTCAAATCACCCCTGACAGATGGCCATCCAGCCTCTGTTTAAAAGCTTCCAAAGAAGGAGCCTCCACCACACTCCGGGGCAGAGAGTTCCACTGCTGAACGGCTCCCACAGTCAGGAAGTTCTTCCTCATGTTCAGATGGAATCTCCTCTCTTGTAGTTTGAAGCCATTGTTCCTGTCCTAATCCCCAAGGAAGCAGAAAACAAGCTTGCTCCCTCCTCCCTATAACCTCCTCTCACATATTTATACATGGCTGTCATGTCTCCTCTCAGCCTTCTCTTCTTCAGGTTAAACATGCCCAGCTCTTTAAGCCGCTCCTCATAGGGCTTGTTCTCCAGACCCCTGATCATTTTAGTCGTCCTCTGGACAGATTCCAGCTTGTCAATATCTCTCTTCAGTTGTGGTGCCCAGAATTGGACACAATATTCCAGGTGTGGTTTGACTAAGGCAGAATAGAGGGATAGCATGACTTCCCTTGATCTAGACCAGGGGTCCTCAAACTAAGGCCTGGGGGCCGGATGTGGCCCTCCAAGGTCATTTACCCGGCCCTCATTTCATAGGAATTCATTCATGTTTTTTTCAAATTATAATCCGGCCCTCCAACAGTTTGAGGCACTGTGACCTGGCCTTCTGTTTAAAAACAGATCTAGACACTATACTCCTAGTGATGCAGGCCAAAATCCCATTAGCTTTTTTTTGCCGCCACATCACATTGTTGGCTCATGTTTAACTTATCCACGAGGACTCCAAGATCTTTTTCAATAGAACAGGAACATCTGAATTGAAAACCATAGCATACTTCACATGCACCCTGTTTGTTTGGCCTAAGACCCACCTGTATTTCCATTTCATTCGTTGTTCTTATCAATCAGGTTGTGATACTTGTTTTTTCTTACCTGATGGAAATTTGCATACATTTTCCATGCATATATTTAGGAAAGTATGTTTTTGTATATGTTTCCAAAATGCATTTTCCCATTGCAGTACATTTGAGTATAGTTTCCAATTGTACATGTTGCACGTTTTGCAAATATGCAGCTTTTCAAGAAAAACTGTGGTCTGCCTCCCAACAGTTCATAGGATGGGCAAAATTCATAATTTAAGAAAGAATCTCAAAAACCTTGACATTGGTTTTCTATCCTTACCATAGAAAATCAATGCCAAAAAAGGACTTGAAAAAAAAAGCTTTATTGATTTATTTTTGAATGGTAGTTATTAAGAGTTGAAAAACAAAAGTTAAAAGTACAAAATAAGTTCCACTTTCTTTTAAGTGGAACTTTTTATATATTTTGGGAGTATAACTTTTGGAGGGGTATGTAATATACCTTTGTAAAGTACAAATGCCGAAATAGAATCATAGAATCATACAGTGTACTGTGACTGCTTATAGAATCATAGAATCCTAGATTTGGAAGAGACCTCCTGGGCCATCCAGTCCAACCCCCTGCCAAGAAGCAGGAAAATCACATTCAAAGCACCCCCGACAGATGGCCATCCAGCCTCTTTTTAGAAGCTTCCAAAGAAGGAGCCTCTACCACACTCCAGGGCAGAGAGTTCCACTGCTGAATGGCTCTCGTAGTCAGGAAGTTCTTCCTAATGTGCAGATGGAGTCTCCTTTCTTGTAGTTTGAAGCCATTGTTCCGCGTCCTAGTCTCCAGGGAAGCAGAAAACAAGCTTGCTCCCTCCTCCCTATAACTTCCTCTCACATATTTATACATGGCTGTCATGTCTCCTCTCAGCCTTCTCTTCTTCAGGTTAAACATGCCCAAGATTCACAAGTTGCACATGTATCTCACACACACACACACACACACCCCTCCCGCTTTATTCATTTTGGTAGCATCGTTCCTCTCAAGTTGTTATATGTTTTGAAAAGTCTGGCTAACATTAATTTTAAAAATATTATAGTTCTGGAATAGCCACTGTCTTATTTTCTGGTACTATTTTAAAGATAAACTCTAGAAATTATGTTACAGTATTGGCTATTTTCATGTAGTTTTTAGGCACCTGGATTGTCAGACATCAAGATTTTTACCAGACCTGCAATACTCAATGAGAAAATGAGTTGAAGAAATGGATTTGTGATTATTTACATCTTGCAATTTATCTCAGTGTCATCACAAGAGTGAGTGACTAAATATGTTTTATTTTTAAATGTCTGAAGTGTAAAAGATGGTATTTATACTAGTTTTACACATTTAGCATGTTAAGCTATGTAGATATGTTTATGTGTTAGGTATAAAATTATATTTTAGGCTAAACAATTGAGAATTTCAATTTTTTTACAATTATATTTATATTTGTATTTTATAGCAAACATATATTACAGACAGCAAACAAATTATTGTGAATATATCTGGGAAATGGGACTTAGCACTTTGGATTTGTAGAAATTTGAGGGAATATGGATTTGTAGGTTTGGTTATGCATTGATCTGTGGATTACCACCCTTTCCTACAAACTATTTGTTTTGTGGACTGAAATTTGATTTGTATCGTTTCCTCTGTAAAGGAAGAGTGGCTTTGCTTTTGTCTGTTGTGACCCTCTAAATGGATCTACACGCCCCTGTCTCACAGGATCTGATCTCAGATTATCTGCTTTGAACTGGATTATATGAGTCTACACTACCAGATAATCTAGGATTAGATCCTGGGATATAGTGCAGTGTGGAAGAGGCCTCTGTCTTCTGTTAGCTGCCCTGTATTTTGCCTCCTAGCACCGAATAGGCATCAGCTGCCCCTTCTAAAAACTTTTAAAATGGTTTGAAGAATATGTTCTAAACCAGGGGTCCTCAAACTAAGAGCCGGGTGCTGGATATGGCCCTCCAAGGTCATTTACCCGGCCCTTGCTCAGGGTCAACCTAAGTCTGAAAAAACTTGAATGCACACAACAACAACAACAATCCTATCTCATCAGCCAAAAGCAGGCCCACACTTCCCATTGAAATAAGCTTATATTTATTAAAATTGTTCTTCGTTTTAATTATTGTATTGTTTTAAAGTGTTTTTTTTGCACTACAAATAAGATATGTGCTGTGTGCATAGGAATTCATTCATGTTTTTTTCAAATTATAATCCGGCCCTCCAACAGTTTGAGGGATTGTGACCTGGCCCTCTGTTTAAAAAGTTTGTGGACCCCTGTTCTAAACACTAGTGTACCCCAGTCTTAAAATGTGTTTTCTCAGAAATATCTCATTTCATTACAACGTTCTCCCAGGTAAGTGACCCATATAAAGCAGCTTTTGATATGGAAAATAATTGATGGTAGTCTTTATTTATTTATTTACGATATTTATATGCTGCCCTTCTCATCCTGAAGGGGACTCAGAGAGGTAGTAGAATTATATATGTGGAATGTATTGTACAGTACCGTCCAACACATGTTGATGATAGTAATAATAATAATAACAACAACTTTATTTATATCCTGCTATCATCTCCTAACAGGGATTCGGGGCGGCTTACAGAGCAGCACATGATGGTGCCATACAAAAAACATAAAATATAATACATCAGCATTTATGAAATCAATGACACACAATTTACATAAAACAACAACATTCAGAAGTTAAATAATTATATCCCATT